CAGTGTGTAAAGGCCTTTAGTCTTGTTATTCTAAAAGCCAAGATATTGACTTATCTTGCACTGTAGTTATGAATAAATATATTTTTACTTTGACTTAGAATGTCCAACTCTGCTGCACTATATCATAATTGTAATTTACCATGAGTGTTTTTGTTTTGCTCACTTCTAACTTTTTTAATCACATTTTTCAAACACCTAGACAGCAGCCAGTCAAACCTATAAATCATCACGAAGCAGACAGGCTGTGTGGTGACATCACCTCACATGATATCTGGTTATTGAGGTTTCAGTTTTTCAAGCGGTTATCTCTCGCTGCCATGTGGAGCCACTGATGTGCAGAGTTGCCTAATGCAGCTTTAATGAAAGGGGAAACAATGACATTGTTTGGGAGGAATGAACACATCTGACCTCAGCAGAGACACAGCTGAAAAATTGATGCTTTCAGATTTCAGGTATTTCACTGCTCTCACATCCGGATGAGGAAACTGGATCAAACAACTTTAGCTTCATCATAAAATGGCCACCTGCCTCCTGGTGTTACCATACATTTTTATTCTGCGTTGACAGCAGAGGACATTCACAGGGTTTTTTCTGCCAGAGTTCTATTAGCCTCTGTGTTCTGCAGTAGTATGACTCTCTGTGTGTGAGTCACTTGAAAGCTCTTGGTAAATTTAGAAGAAGGAGGAAAAAAAGGGAAAAAAAAGAAGCCGCAACAGTTTCTCTGTTTTCTCAGCAAAGAAAATGGTTGGCTGGATTGACTTCCTGTTTTAAACCACTGGTTGGCTGTAAAATGGGAGAAGCACAAATGTGGACTGTGCGCACAGATGGACAAGGTTACTTTGATCCATTCAAGCCTTTGATACAGGAATCATTTGATAGGAAATATGGTGTGATTTATCAGAGAAACAAACAGCCTCATCCCTCCCCTCTCATTGTCAGTTCTAACATTTTTATTTGGACCATGTGTCTTCTTCAGTGTTATGGTGTGTTCACACCTAACGTGAAGCAAATTTGTGCCTCATGTTGTTAGTTTAAATATGGCCCGCTTTGAGCATTTTGCAGCTGGTTATTATTTGCCCTTAAAAGCTGTGCTAATGGTTGTGCTAACTAACTGGGGAAAGCAGCTAACTGCTAACTTGCGTCATAGTAAAATACAACCAATACCTAGAATCAAGTTATGTGCTCTGTACCAGCATGAACCAAGATGGCTACACTCTTTATTATTTCTGATATTGTCACAGCAGCATTCTTCCGCTTCATGCCTTCTGTCGTTTACTTTCAACAATAAGAGACCAACTTAAATCAGTCAGCATTTGATATGTCCCATTGCTTCGCTTGTAAATGTCCGATAGAGTTGCCACCCGTCCCGTTTTTCCCAGAATTGTTCTCTTTTTTCATCAGCTGTCACAGGAAAAAAAAAAATCTATCCCGGGACACAATTTGTCCCGTTTTTTGGGGAAAATGCAGCAGCAGCAGCAGGCCAAGGAGTCCATCCAGAATCAGTGCAACAGGCTCAAGAACATCTGTGTCAGAGAGACAGCAAAGTAAGAAGAGCTGTGGCAAGTCCTAACAGTTCACTTAGTATATTTGCACATCCAATCATGTTTTAATTTGTATTTTTTCCATTTATATTTAACCCTACGGGCCCGAACGACGCATAGTGCGTCCAAATTCACACCTGTTCTTCTTTTTTTTTTTTATCCACGACTGTGCGTCATAGCGAGAAGCCACACCTATCACGTGAAACAGCGGAATCGTAGCTTTCCGAATGTTTTCACAGCGAAAAAAAAAAGATAAAGTTACACTAAAATGATGTATAACAGAGCTTTCATACAGCTCTGCACACACATTACTGTTGGATGGATTACTCGCGAATGCAGGGTCGCACAGAAATGCCACACATATCACATGAAAGTGCAGGAGCAGAGCTTTCCAATGATACCACACACATCATTATGCTGTCATCCCATCATGCTATAAATCCAGATTAATTGTCTACCAAATAAAATCCTGACGAATTTCTTTACAACCCATTATACAGATCTTGTTATCAGTCACTTCATATAGTGATGAATATCTTATCTTACCACGTCTTAGGCTTGCGTGTGTTTCTCCCTGTCTATCCACATTTGTAGTCCGGCTTTCAAGATGCAAATATCTCCATATTGTCCAGTTGACACTCCATCAAACTTTTTATGACAAGACCAGCCACTTCACCTTTGCACACCCAGACAACTGTAGCCTAATTATGCATGCATGACAGGGCAAAGTGGCAAATATTATCTTGGAGAACATCATTGCACTTGGTTGACTATTTTTCTATGATCTTAGATGTAAATATTGCATGTTTCTTTCAGATAAAACACATTTTTGACTTGTGAATGAGTCAATGGAATTTCTTGCAATAATGAAAAAATACTGGCAATCATGTCCGCCTGGCACAAACCACATGTTTTGGACAGCTGTAAAGTGACAGAATGTCCCACCATCACGGTTCTTATATTGCCAGATTCCAGAGAGTCTCCCCTCTTCATATATGGCAGAATATGTCAACTTCCAACTTGCTATGGTGAGATACATGTAAACATGTAAGAATTTAGTAACACAGATTTGTTTTTTTCATTGATATAAAAATTAATATAAAATACAGGCACATAGAAGGACATGGAATGATGGCAAATCTGGTCTCCTATGTCCGAATTTCATGTTCATTGGTCAGTCTGAACTGGTAATAATGGCCGAGCCTTCCGCCTCAAACATTTGGTCGAGTGTCCCTTTTTTTCACAAATCCAAGGTGGCAACCCTAATGTCTGAGCTCTCTCCTTTTTTGTTCTGTCTGCACAGTAGGCTACTGACGTTAAGTGGTAGAGCTCTGGGTACCCATAGGCAATGACGATAAGTTTGTTCTCCATTTCTGATTCTCTGCAATGTCAGAAGAATCTCAACCAGATCTAAAAACTGATAGGTTTTTGTGACACAGTGTGGCATACATTTCTTGCGCAAGTTGAAAAAAAAAAATCAAATCGCGTGAATATGCGAATAGCGTGAATTAGGTGTATTCGTTTTATTTGCATCGCATCATTCGTGCCGCTCGGCGCAAATTGCATATATTCGTGTCTCTGCATTGACTTTGTATATAATCACGCCGCACTTAACGTTTGCTTCATGTACAATGTGAACTTTGGAATTTTGGTGCGGAATTTGCCTCAAGTACGTTAAAAAAAAATCACCTTTTGTGGAGGATTTCTGAGAGACCATATGACAGTGTGCTAGCTTAGCTAACATGCTGCTAACTAGCTAACAGGCTTTTCCCTTCACTTCAGTTGCCTGTGTTAATCGTCAAGTGGGTTTGTATGATTGAAAAGATCTTGTTTATCTAGTTTTAACACATTGTGAACCTGAGTAATGTTATTTTGCTGAAATATTTTTATACATGTACAGTCAGATTGTCATTATGACTCGTTCAGCCGTTCATATGTCTTTTTAATTAAAAATTTTAGAAGTCATGCCACATATCTGGCAGGCCAACATCTTCATTTATTTGTTGCCATGCAATATTGGTCCTGTTTTCATGGCGGTGATGTTCTAAGTGCATATTCCAAACTACTGGATGGTGAAATACGCACAAAATTAGCCTCTCTCCCATGGCTACAGGTAGTTTCTGTTACGTTTCTATGCATCAGTAAAGAAATGCACTTCCTTGCGTTAGACACAGGATCTTTACACTATATGGCCAAAACTATTTGGACAGATCCAGTGTGCTTCCAACTTTTGTGACCCTGCCTTGTTATGATCACGACTTCCATAAGATCACAAGTTTTGTCTACACTTTTTAGAATTCTTAATCTTCATTTATGTCCTCAGACCCTTTGGTGCTAAAGCCTTGCCTTGTCTCTACTCTTATTACTTATTTCTCTATATAGCAGATTTCTTCCTTTTTGTCCTCTTAAAGATTTTTTTTAATAAAGTCAGTGCCTAAAGCCAAAGTTGAGGGTTTAAGATAGAGGGTCTCATATGCTGTACAGATTTTGGAGACCTTTAAGGAAACTTTGTGATTTCTTGCACCAATTTTGTTTTGGCTGAAAGCCTGAAACCAGTGGAAACTGTCACTGCAGCACATTAATGTCCATGGCTTTGGTATGGGTTGTAATGTTCAGGTGTCCAAAAACCTTTGACCACATACTGTAGTGTATATTGGGTTTACTGAATATAATGTGTGACTTTCATCGCAAAGTCAGTTTCCATTCTTCCAAGATGCCATGTGGTGACTGACCATAAAAGCCACTTTACTTAAGCTATTTACTCAAGTACTGCGCTTAAGTACAGTTCTAAGGTATCTGTATTTTACTGGATATATTTCTACTTGTACTTCCTTATACTTTTACTACACCACATTTTATTTATTAACAAATTGGGGCGGCAGTAGCTCAGTCCATAGGTACTTGGGTTGGGAACCGGAGGGTCGCCTGTTCAAGTCCCCGTCTGGACCAAAATATGGAGCGTGGACTGGTAGCTGGAGAGGTGCCAGTTCACCTCCTGGGCAGTGCCGAGGTGCCCCTGAGCAAGGCACTGAACCCCCCAACTGCTCAGAGTACCTGTCATGGGCAGCCCACTCTGACATCTCTCCACTTAGTGCATGTATAGGTCCTGTTTGTGTATGTGTGTGTTCGGACCTGTGTGTAATTGACAAACAGAGTGAAAAATTGAATTTCCCCTCGGGGATTAATAAAGTATATATATATATATAAAAAAAAAAAAGATATATATGGGGCACCCAGTAGCTCACCTGGTACTACACCATGCACTAAGGACCATGTCTCTTCCACAGGGGCTGTGGGTTCCATTCCAACCTATACCCCTTTGCTGCATGTCATCCCCTTTCTCTCTCAATTCCTTTCATACTCCAATCAAATAAAAGCAAAGCCCACAAAATAATCTTAAAACGAAAAATATATACAGTAAGCAATTATACACAATGTAATAAGCAGATAAATTGATTATGTATTATTACAGGATGAGACTTTATTGATCCCCAGGGGGAAATTAAACATCAACCCGGTAGTTTGTCAAGTAGTTAGCTCCACCTTTAACAGCTGCAAAATTATAATAATGTATGCATTAATGCCTCAGTAATTATCATTCAATAACATACATTTTTCTGAAATGGGCCATTCTGCATAATGAGTACTTTTACTTGTGGTATTTTAAGTAAACTCTGTTGCTAATATTTCTGCGCTTTTACGTAGACTGTGTACTGCTACTTTACTTGAGTAAAACATGTGACAACTTCCTCCACCACTGCTCAAGTGTGATGCTTCAGCAGCCACATAATACTGTACTCTTATACAACAGCTCCCCCTTGTGGAGAAAAAACATTACAACTTTAACCAAAGTAAATGATAGTTCATTTTTTAAGTCATGGTCAGAAAAACACATGTTGAATAATTTTTACTGTATGAGAAAACAGTTTACTCTTTGTATCAACATCTATCATCATCATCCTGTTTACTTTTCTCTCTCAGTTCCTGTACGACCTTCCAGCTGTTGTCCAGACTCGCCCTCAGCTCGGACAGATCCCTCCTGATCTCCTCAAGGAGCTCCAGCTTTGAAAGTTTCCTATCAATGGATTTGAGCGTTTGCTCCTGTCCGCCCTCCTCCTCCACGACAGTATCCTGTTCTGCAGCGGGACATTCAGGTTCCTGACATGACCCCATGGTTTGCTCCCAAATCATCTCAAAGTACGAGTCAATGAAGGCCTCTAGCTCCTCCAGGCTGCTGCCGTCCCACCGGTCAATCAGCGCCTGCAGACTTTCAGATTCAGAGAGCCTCCTGAGAGTCCGCTCTCTCAGTACAGGGTGGCAGAGGGACTTCACACTGATGCCATTTCCATCTCCAAGCATCCTGTGTTGTGTGCGAGGTAAAACCAGAAGCATTGTTGTTGGATGACTGCTTTCACCGTCCAGTCTCAGGTGAAGAAATTCATCAGGAGACCAGACTGGCAGATTTATAGTCCACCTCAGTGATTTCTTGCCAGAGAACAAAGAAGACATGAAGCTGTGTCTGTCCCAGATGGAGGGTCCAGTCTGTCCTCTTCCTGCTGGTAGTGCCACTATCTGTCCACCATTATCTGGGCCTCCTGAGCAGCTCACTGATGTTAGAGTGGTGGGTTTGGCTGACTCAGTCACTGTAAAAGAGATAACATGGTGCTGTGAATTCATGCGAGCCATAAAAATACCAACCGTCAGAGATAAAAATCAGTCTATCTCTCGGTAACAGATGCTGCTACCTCACTGTCTACACCATAAACCAGGTTTTGATTTGATCCCTCCCCACGTTACACCTGATAGGACTTTTAGATTTCCTGTATGTGTTGCTTACTCTGTGTTGTGTATGTTACAGTGTTGTATGTTTTCATTAATACCAAATAATATACCATAATGCTGTTCTGTATAGTGCATAATCTTGTTGTGTATAATTACATCCAATTTCAATAACTAATTTAATGTAATGTTTACTCTGTGGCACATGTATAATACTGTTAATTAATGTGCATTGCCCCAGTCAAATTAAGTAAAATAAATACATATAATTAGCTTATATCAGCTTATCATTAATATATCAGTGCAATGTTGGCAGATGTACAAACTGGAGTTCATTAGGCTTCATTTTTTAATGTGTTTTTGACCCATACTGTTCTTATTTTTTAACATAAATCTTAGTTGTATTTTATTTAAAATAATTATTCGTGCATTCATGATGTTAAGTGTTTGTGTAAAAAGGGAATATGGTTGATGTGTCAGTAAAGTAATGTGTTTGTCTTTTTAATCTGGAGTTTAAAGATGTAATGGGAATGATCTTAAAAAAAACGCCCTCCTGTTTTAACTATGAACATGTAAAACTATGAGAGCAGATGCTTTAAAACAGTGGCTCCAAAGCTTTTTGGCTTTTGATTTCCTAAAAATATATACTGTCGACTGACTTGTTACTAATCATCAGTGGTTGCATATGTGTTTTGCAAGTTAACATAATAGTATAACTCATGGTTCAAGTAATTTTTACAGGCTTGAGGACATAAGATTATGCAGCAATTCACTCAAAAAAAGCAAAGATCTGTCACAAAGTCTCTCTGTCTCTGTCTTCAGACCCCTGCATTACCATTCTCCATTTGTCCACTAGATGCCCTCAGACTTTCCCACCTGTCCCACACATACTTCTGAAATACTATACATACATACAATGCACTACACACTCAATATGGGTGCTACTGTTAAACATACTTTCATGTAATTAAACAGTCATATGTATCTTTTCAGACACACTGAGCTATAAATACTGCATCAATTCCTGAGAGCCTTCTTACCAATTGGAGACACACGTCTTGATGGAATCCACCCCAGTCTCCTCTCTACCATTAATTTAAAAATACTGTCAATTTAAAAGTAATAAGGATTATTATATACAAAATATTTTACACAGTGTAATCTTATGTTTTCACTTAAATTGAAGCGTTATTGACATTACAGATCTGTCTTCTGTCTTGAATGTCGTCAGATACATTGCACTGTGGGACATTTATGCCACTGTAGTGTCCAGTGTTTGCATCCTATAACATTTCACCAATTCATGTACTATTGGTGTCATACTAGGGTTTCAGATAAACTAAAAATAACCTCACATACTGTTTTAGCACACTAAAAAGCATGTTAGTTTGGAATTTCAGACGCAGATATCATCTGCGTTCCCACCTGCAGTCCATCTTCACTCACTCTACCAGACAGTTATTGTGTCTTATGAGTTTGTGTTCCAGCCATGTGAAACTGATTCTGTTCCAGTTCCTGTCCTCAGGTAAATTTCCCTCCATCCTACCTGATTATGTTATGTGTGCTCGTTCGTGTTAGAGTCCTCCTCCCTTTGTTGCTGGAATTCACCAGCTGTGATGAGATTAGTGAACTGTAATTAATAATATTCTAATTTCTTTCCTGTTAATTGTCTCAAAACCCTTCCCTTTGGGGGCTCCCTACCCCCAGGTTGGGAACCACTGCTTTAAAAGAATCATATCATTACAAACCTCAGTGCAAATGAAACTGTGTGACATGCTGGGGAAAAACACAAGCGCATTAGGTTTACTTACAGTCATGGGACAGCTGATGACTGCAGCTCGTCAGCATCTTTAAATCAGTTTTACACGGCGTCACTGCGTCCTGTGATGAAACACTTCTCCACATGTGATCACCTCTGTGCAACACAGCTAACCTTTCTCCAACCAGCATCTCGTCTATCAGTTCAATCAGCTCTTTAACCTGAGCTTCGTCACCTCGGTGTTTATTATCCAGGACGTGATATCTGTTCCCGCACTTGTCAACCAGCCTCTGCAGCGCCTCTCCTTCACTCTCGATGCGTTGCTCTATGCTTGTGTCGCCCAGCCAATCGCCATGGCTGAACAGTACCACAGCTCTGCTCCACATCTGGCCTCCTCCTGCCTCCAGATGTTTCTCCATGGCCTCCATGTGGGTATCTCTGAATGAGGAGCTCACATTGACAACCAGGAGGATGGCACAGGATGCGTCAAGGAGGTCAGAGGTCACAGAGAAGCAGCCCGGTGTGTCCAGCACTGCCACCGTCTTGCCGCAGATTTTGGCTCGCTTTTCAGAGCAGGAAGTGGTTTCAGTGTGGAGGCACTCTGTGCTCAGGATGGTGTCTCCACATGAGCTCTTGCCTGTTTTCCTGCCGCCAACAAGCACCAGTCTCAGATCTGGAGGAGGTTTGAGCTTCTCTGTTGGAGAGAAGTTTTACAAATCAAACAAACTCCTTCTGCTTGAATTACATCCAAGAAATCCACACAGAGAACAACATCTCCACAGCTAAATTAAATATATTTTATTAGATAAGCACAACAAGATCATGCTGACATTGTTTATCACTTTTAAATGTATCTAACTCACCCAGCTGAGACCTCGCCATCTGCCTTTGTTCCTCCTTCCTCATCAGTCTCTCCCTGGCTCTCTCCTCCTCTCTTCTCATCTTCCCCTCCAGCTGTTCCATCACTTCCCTCTTCATTTCATAATGCAGGCCATTGTTGCAGTTGGCTAACATTTCCTCAATCTTCCCAATCAGCTCTCTGACTTGAAATCCATCCCCTTTAGTTTTATTGTTCAGGACATGATACCTGTTGTCACATCTTTCAACGAGCCACTGCAGAGGCTCTCCCTCGCTCTCGATGCACTGCTCGGTGGTGGTGCCTGCCAGCCAGTCCCCGAAACTGAACAGCAGGATGACACGGCTCCAGATGTGCTCACTGATCAGCTGGAGGTGCTCCTGCACCGCCCTCCTGTAGGTTTCAGTGAAGGATCTGTCCACACGGATCACCAGCAGGAAGACGTGAGGCCCCGGAGGACACAGAGACAAACTGAGCACCAGCTCCCTCCGGTCGAACACGGGGCTCTCATCACAGAAGTAGTTCATCCACCAGCCTGGTGTGTCCACCACCGTCACCTGTCTCCCAAACAACACTCCTTTCCCAACCAGGCACCGAGCTGTTCTTCTCACTGGCTGGCTGCTCTCTCTGCTCAGGATTGTGTTCAGAGTGGAAGTTTTCCCAGAACCCTTTGCTCCCACCAACACAATCCGGATATCAGTAATGGGCCACAGCCTCTCTGAAAGAATTAAAAAGGAAATATAGACCAGAGAGAGGTTTGGCTTGGCTTTGGACTTCTATTCAATACATTTTCCAGCTAGTGTTAGAGGTACCGGGTTGCAGCACCATACAGTTGTATGAATAACTGAAACAAAAGAAAACAGAGGATGACACCGGAGACGTGGCTTGTCTTTGCTGAATCTTCCTCAGTTATGTTTATTTATGTCACATGTCATTCACTGCACTGTTAACATTGTCCATTTTAATATTCACTCAGCATCATACTGTATATGTATTGTCTTTCCAGACATATTTCAGTGTTCATAAAACATAATTTACACACAGTGCATATAGCCATTCCCATACACTCGGACATTCTCTGCCTGGACGTTTATTGAAATGCAAAGTCAGTTTTGTTTGGTTGTATGAGCTTTTTCTGAGATTTGAAGTTTAAAAATGGTCAAATGGTGTGCATGGGGTACATGCAACTCCGACACAAGGTATCCTGAGAGGCTGGGCGATGAGGTGCATTTTTTACCCTTTCCTAAACCACATCTCAACCAAGAAAAGTGTCTCCTTTGGATAAAGTTGTGTGGTAACGTTAGACCACAACATCAGCTCAACGTGAATAAGATTAACAATGATGTCTACATCTGTTCTAAGGTAAGTCAACATTGTGTTTGAGGCAACATATTGTCACTTTGCTGGAAAGAAATATAAAGTTATCTTTAACATCTCTAGCTAACTTTCGCTCCTAGCTGCGTTGTTCATCATGTCAGCTTGTTTGCTGGGAGTTCATTAGCCTATTTTGTTCTAGTTTTTGTACTTTGGTGATAGTACATCATTGTTAGCTGTTGTCCAAAGGGCTCTAGTTAAGCTAACGTTAACTTCTGGAGCTTAGCTTCATTAATTTATCTGTAATAATCGCAGAGATAACAATGGTTGGCAAACGTTATGCTGAATGATTCAGTGTAAATACTGTAGCACCAAACTAACAGAGAGACACTCTTGGTAAAGATGGTAAAAAGGCCGTTAACCTTTTCTCATATTCTGAGCCAAAAACCTTAACTTCAGTGGCACTTGAACTTGTTGTCTTTGATGGCAACGGCAACGAGATGTAGTTCACAAGCATACACTGTGACCTGTAATTTTTGGCTTGTAATTTAAGCTTTTCATCAACCTGTTCAACAATAAAATGATGAATATATCCATCCAATGCGTAGTTTAGGCCCTTTTGGTTACTTCTCAATGACATCTGATCGTTATGTCTACAAAAATCATCAGTTGCTTCCTGCGAAATGCCGTGTACTGTGACACCTGCCATAGCGCCCGGTCACTGAATGTTGATAGTTTGTCCAAGTGAGTGGAGGGGGGCGTAGCTAAGCCATAGGTCAATTATCCAATGTAAAATGCCAAAGGCTTGTGCTAAATCATTAGCATGTTGTATTTGTAGGTAAAATGTGTCCAGGTAAACCAAGTGTCTGTGAATTCTGAGAGTTGTAGTGAAGCTGATTTGTGTACTTTTGTTTGAAATTATCGCTATTAAGCCATGTTTAATGTGTGTTTTTGGGTGTGTTTTGAATCAACTAAACTTTACAGCACTTCACAGAAACCAAACCATTGACTGTTGTTTTGGAGGTGTAACTGCAGAGTGACACAGACACACCACCGCACAAGTATAAATGCTCACAACAGCGTAGGTCATGATGTGCGTAGCTTACAGCGTAAACTCTCTACAAAAACTAAGGTGTAAATACATCAATTTTTGGTTTTACATTTTCATTACGTCCTCGAATATTCTCCAAAATAACTCAGGCTAAATTTGCATAAACAATTCAACTTTTTGTTTCGACAGCATTTAAATTACGATATTTCAATGTTAGGACCTCTTTCACATTGGAATAATTGAAAAAGTGTTAAAACAAATCCCATGAAAAACAAAAAGTAAACCAACACTGAAAGCTTCTGCCGACAAGTATTGTGTGTATATCAAAGTCTGATATACTATAAACACATCAATGAGCCACACTGTTGCACTCAGTGAAATGTTCCTTTATTACTATAAAGACAGGTTGTAGTTTATTTTGACTCAGTCCCACATACACCACCCTGCTGCCCCAATTAGTCACCAATCGAGCTCCAAATGTGGATTAATCCGCTGCTGAAAGTAGTTCCAAACTATACCCAATTTATTCCTGTGTGACTCATGTTTGCTAAAAGCTACAGTGTCCAGCCATTTTAGGGAGTTAATTTGCTTTTTTTTTTTTTAATAAATGAAACTATGTATTTATGATTTCTTCTTTCTAAAAATGTATGCTTTAGTAGGAACCAATAGGCTTAAGGATAAGTGCCACAAGCAGGGTAGGGGAGTCACAAAGTTGTACATTGTTTTATTTCTTTTCTTTCTTTTCATGTGATTTGTTGCAGCTATACAAATTAGGGCCGACCCCAACCTCAAGCAGATAAATCTAAAGACAGTATAGTACTCCACATTGTGTGTGACAGGATGTGTCTGTGAAGTTCAGTGTACAAACAACAAGAGCAGGGCTGTGGAGATGATCTCTTTAACAGCAAAACATAAGCGATACATTTAAAAGATTCTGATGAACTCACCTCTCATGAGACATCTGTGTGTCTTCATCCTCACAAACCTCTGCTGAGCCCTCTCCTCCACTCTCCTCTTCTCCTCTGCAGTGGCCTGTAAAATGTGTTCCTGCATTTCAAACACTCTGTTTCCATTTCCTGTGACAAGTTTCTGTATGTTTTCCAGCAGCTCGGTGACTTCAGTATTATCGCTCAAGATAACACTGTGACACCTCTGACTGCACTTCTCACTGAGCCAGCCGAGGGCCTTTCCCCCCCTCTGTACCAGCTCCTCAGCATCTGTGTGTTCAGCACTGTTGGCAGAGATGAAGACAACCATGCAGTGACTCCACACGCTCTCACCCAGCAGGGCCACGTGCTCCTCCACAGCCCTGCGACGCTTCTCTGAGAAGCCTGAGCTGGCCTTGATTGTGATAAGAAATACATGTGGGCCTGGTGAGCACAGAGAGACGCTGCTGACAATCTCCCTCTTCACCAGCTCTGATGTGTCCTGAGCGCTGAAGTCGCACCACCAGCCGGGAGTGTCCACCACAGTGAGCCATCGTCCCGCTCCCACACGCAGCCTCCGGCAGCAGGAGGTCCTCTCTTTGGTGACAAACTCCTCTCTGCCCAGGATTAAGTTCCCCAGTGAGCTCTTTCCAGAGTTTCTGCCACCAAGAAGGATAATCTTCAACTGTGATGTGCACCAGCCGTCCCCTGACAAAAATATGAACACACTGAAGAGATTAATAAGAAAGCCACATTGCCTAAAATCAGTTTTATTGGTCAAATGGAATGACAGATTCTCATTGAGCAAACACAAGCAACATGTATTAATATGAAACAATCAGTCAATTAATCCATTTGTCACTTCACAGAAAATTAGGCATGACAACTGTGATAATTTAATGTTTGAGTAATTTTTAAAAGCACAAATTCACTGGTTGCAGCCTCCTAATTTAAATATCGATGTATATATATATATATACAGTACAGGCCAAAAGTTTGGACACACCTTCTCATTCAATGCGTTTTCTTTATTTTCATGACTATTTACATTGTAGATTCTCACTGAAGGCATCAAAACTATGAATGAACACATGTGGAGTTATGTACTTAACAAAAAAAGGTGAAATAACTGAAAACATGTTTTATATTCTAGTTTCTTCAAAATAGCCACCCTTTGCTCTGATTACTGCTTTGCACACTCTTGGCATTCTCTCCATGAGCTTCAAGAGGTAGTCACCTGAAATGGTTTTCCAACAGTCTTGAAGGAGTTCCCAGAGGTGTTTAGCACTTGTTGGCCCCTTTGCCTTCACTCTGCGGTCCAGCTCACCCCAAACCATCTGGATTGGGTTCAGGTCCGGTGACTGTGGAGGCCAGGTCATCTGCCGCAGCACTCCATCACTCTCCTTCTTGGTCAAATAGCCCTTACACAGCCTGGAGGTGTGTTTGGGGTCATTGTCCTGTTGAAAAATAAATGATCGTCCAACTAAACGCAAACCGGATGGGATGGCATGTCGCTGCAGGATGCTGTGGTAGCCATGCTGGTTCAGTGTGCCTTCAATTTTGAATAAATCCCCAACAGTGTCACCAGCAAAACACCCCCACACCATCACACCTCCTCCTCCATGCTTCACAGTGGGAACCAGGCATGTGGAATCCATCCGTTCACCTTTTCTGCGTCTCACAAAGACACGGCGGTTGGAACCAAAGATCTCAAATTTGGACTCATCAGACCAAAGCACAGATTTCCACTGGTCTAATGTCCATTCCTTGTGTTTCTTGGCACAAACAAATCTCTTCTGCTTGTTGCCTCTCCTTAGCAGTGGTTTCCTAGCAGCTATTTGACCATGAAGGCCTGATTGGCGCAGTCTCCTCTTAACAGTTGTTCTAGAGATGGGTCTGCTGCTAGAACTCTGTGTGGCATTCATCTGGTCTCTGATCTGAGCTGCTGTTAACTTGCGATTCTGAGGCTGGTGACTCGGATGAACTTATCCTCAGAAGCAGAGGTGACTCTTGGTCTTCCTTTTCTGGGTCGGTCCTCATGTGTGCCAGTTTCGATGTAGCGCTTGATGGTTTTTGCGACTCCACTTGGGGACACATTTAAAGTTTTTGCAATTTTCCGGACTGACTGACCTTCATTTCTTAAAGTAATGATGGCCACTCGTTTTTCTTTATTTAGCTGATTGGTTCTTGCCATAATATGAATTTTAACAATTGTCCAAAAGGGCTGTCGGCTGTGTATTAACCTGACTTCTGCACAACACAACTGATGGTCCCAACCCCATTGATAAAGCAAGAAATTCCACTAATTAACCCTGATAAGGCACACCTGTGAAGTGGAAAACCATTTCAGGTGACTACCTCTTGAAGCTCATGGAGAGAATGCCAAGAGTGTGCAAAGCAGTAATCAGAGCAAAGGGTGGCTATTTTGAAGAAACTAGAATATAAAACATGTTTTCAGTTATTTCACCTTTTTTTGTTAAGTACATAACTCCACGTGTTCATTCATAGTTTTGATGCCTTCAGTGAGAATCTACAGTGTAAACAGTCATGAAAATAAAGAAAACGCATTGAATGAGAAGGTGTGTCCAAACTTTTGGCCTGTACTGTATATATATATATATATATATATATATATATAAAATTTCTTTCCCATTTATGGTTGTTAATGAAATATTTTTGTCTTTGAATGTTTTTGACAAAAAAAGCAGCAACACTTTTGATAATTAATCACTGAAGTCATTTTAAAAAATTGCAAAAGTGTTAAAATATTCAGTGGTTCAAGCTAAAGTGTGAATATTTGCTGATTTTCTTTCTACATTATGATACTAAATTAAATATCTAAGTTGTTTAAAATTAAAATCAATACATCATGGATGTCACACAGATATTATAAGACATTAAGAATTCAACTCACATGTTGCCTGCCCGCTGGTTGCCATCTCACATTCTGGACCATCTAAAAACACATAGGCTTTAAACCAGACATCATTATTCCCAAGTCACGTCTGTGCTCCCATGTCCCTTTGTGAAAACTGTCGACAGAGCTTCCTGTTGAAGGAGTGATCTGGCAGCAGAAGTCTGGGTTTTTATGTGTTTATGAGTCTGAAGGTTGTCTGTAATGAGTAATCAGACATACCTGCAGTGGACAGTCAGAGCCCCACCTCTCAGCAGCAGGTCGACAGTCCACTCTGAGAAAAACACAAAGAGCGTGTGCAGCATTTATCATTTACCAAACACAGACTGATAGTAAAGATAATGTATAATCCAACAAGCATTAAAGTGTTTTCAAGTGACTTTACAACCATTCGACATTACATAAGAAAAATACATACATAATCAGAAAAGATACAGGACTGTAAATATGAAAAAAGCCAGTGGTTTTGATGTGTAATGATCACTGCAGCTTTTGTGGGGTCAAAACTTTTAACCAGTTTGAGTTATTTGTACTTCCCTTAAGGATTTCCTTTTCTATTTTAATCTTCTACTTCCCCATACTCCGAAACATATGACTGTTTTGTTGCTAGATACTTCACAGATTAAGATTTCATACACAAATTTAGCCAAAACAATAAATGATAGATAGTTAAAATAGGGAAATGCAGTGGAGAGAGACATAGCATGTAATTCAAATTCAATGTATCTCAAGCCAGTAGAAGCAAAAGAAATCAAAGATATAGTCAACAAGTGCAGAAACAAAACATCTACTGATTTCAATGCAATCAGTATGATGCTAGTAAATAAGGTAATTGATGGTATTGTCATTCACAAATGGGCAAAATATTTTCCAAAAGGTTGGATAACTTCAATGAAACACGCCATCTATTAACGGACAGTCAATATGGGTTCAGAACCGAAAGATCCACATCTCTAGCATTGATGGAATTAACAGAAGAAATAACCAATTATATAGATAACAAGAAATATGCGATAGGAGTATTTATAGATCTGCAGAAAGCATTCAACACCATTAATCATGATATATTGTTTAAAAAATAGAAAGGTATGGTATAAGGGGAGTGGTGTTGAATGGGCTAAAAACCTACATTAACAGTAGGCAGCAATTCGTACAAATGGGTGATTATAAATCTGATCTGTTAGGCATTACTTGTGGAGTCCCACAGGGGTCAGTGTTGGGTCTGAAGCTGTTCATCTTGTACATCAATGACATCAATAGAACATCAAGAAGGTTAAAATTTGTCCTATTTGCAGATGATACTAACATCCTTTGTTCAGGGGAAAACCTGCAGCAGCTTTTGGAGGTGGTCACAACAGAAATGGATTCACTAAAACAGTGGTTTAATATTAATAAAGTAAGACACATTCCTGGACCATAAAACACTGAACAACCTGTATACCTCACTGGTACTACCACATCTAACCTACTGTGTGGAAGTCTGGGGTAACACCTATAAAACCAACCTACAAGCACTATACAAAAGACAGCAATGAGGATTGTACATAATGTGGGGTATAGGGAACATACGAACACACTATTTTAAATTAAATTTGAAATCACATACTTTGAAACTGTGGGATTTGATTTCATTTTAAACTGCAATAATCATGTTCAAGGCAAGGAATCATTCACTCCTGGGTAACATCCAAATTATGTTTTGTAACAGGGAGGGGGATTATAAGTAAAGGGGCAAATTTAATTTAAATTTTTAATTTAAAATATTGTGTTCGTACAACCAAGAAGAGTATGTGTGTTTCAGTCTGTGGTGTAGATCTTTAGAATGGGTTGGGTGAGGAATTGAAAAATATATATATATTACTATAACACTTTGAGACATATTTTCCTACATTACCATTACTTTTACTTTTTATACTTTAGGTACATTTTCCTAATAATACTTACATACTTTCAGGTGACATTTCTGATGTGAGACTTTTTCTTGTGCTGGTGTATCATTACATTGTGTTATTGTTGCTTTTATTGAATTATGTGAGCTTAAACATGACAGTTATTCTGGGTCATATTTTGTAAAGTTGTTGTTTGTACAGCAAATTTCATATTTCAGTTTCTTATAGCGCTTAAGTGATAATAATTCTTCTGCTTCATTATTTACTCAGATACAAACAGTGGTGGAATATAACTAAGCTCTTTTACTCGAGTACTTCACTTAAATACAATTTTAAGGTATTGTACTTTACTTAAGTATTTCTGTTTAATGCTACTCCACTACACATTAGATGGGAATGTTGTATTTTTTACCACATTTATTTTGACAGTTTTAGTTACTTTGTGGATTAAGATTATTCATAGAAAATGTAAATCAATCAATACATTATTATATATTATTATAGGTTAAGATACCCATCAGTATACAGTAATTAAAATCGGCTCCACCGATATATAGTATATTGATGCTAATACTTTTTTACTTTTACTTAAGTATGATTTTGAATGCAGGACTTTTACTAGCAACAGTTGCTTTTACATTTTAGTACTGTAAAAGATCTGAACACTTCTCCTTCCACTGGAAACCGAAGGATGCTGGAGTCAAAGTAAGTTTTGTGTGAGTCATTTGTGTAGTAATGTGATTAGACACAACTTTATTTAGGGATGACACCATGTGAGCACATCTAAAATGATTATAGTCTGACACAGTACATTTTGTCTTGCGTGTTATTTTAGGTGTGCAAATTCCAGCACAAATCTACTATTAAAATCAATTGACTTGCAGTGACTGTGCATGTTTCCTGGTCAATAAAGGCTTGGTTAGGGTGGAGGAGCTGGGGGAGAATAGAAACGGTTCACGCTGTAGGAAACTAAGAGGAAGCCATAAACATTTTTGGCATGAGTCATTTGGTGAAATGTGTCATGGTGCAGTTATTCAAGTAAAAAAGCAGGACTTTTACTTGTGTTGGAGTTTTTTTATTGTGTGGTATCAATACTTTTGCATAAGTAAACAATCTGAAAACTTCTGCCACCACTGCTATGTGGCCCAGCCCAGTAAATGATCATGCTGACTTATGTAGTTAGAATTAAAGAATAAAGGACCAAGCTTCCGCTGATGCCTTTCAAAATAATACACTCATGACAACAATTCTTTTTACTCTTGAAAACAACACAGTGGTAAAAATGTAAATTCCATTTAAATGAACTCAAATGTACTTTCAGTAATATATCATCAAAATATGCTTTTCACTTCCAGTAATGCAGCCAGAGAACTGATTATCAGACTAATCTGTGTGATACTTCCCTACAAGTAAAAGTCCTACATTTCCTACTTAAGTAAAAGTACATAAGTATGATCGTCAATATATATATACTTAAAGACGGCTATCAGAAGAAAACGTTCTTCTTCTGGGGAAAAAATGTCTCCTGTGACTGATACGTTAATATATCTGACATTATTAGTTTGTTAATACTGATGCACATAGGCAGCATTTTACTGTTATAGCTGCTGCAGGTGGAGCTAGTTTTACCTGTTTATTACAGTTAGCTAGATTAGTCCAGTTGTTCCCAGTTTAAGAGTTTGGCCTTTCAAAGAGTCACAAGATAAATCTGAGGGGTCACGAAATAATTAATGGGAGAGGGAGGAGGAAAAAGGGTTGATTTTTTTGTAAGGGATCAGAAGCCAAAAAAGTCAGAGCCACTGTTTTGATTTTTAATTGTATGTTTATACTATATCTAAGCTTATAATTACATTTGCTGCTAAAATCTTAATCTCAGAGGTAGTGTGTAGTGTACAGTATTTCTTTTTGAAACATAGAGGAGAAGTATTAAGTAGCCAAGAAAAGAAATACTTAAGTAAAGCACAAGTCAGCTTCTGCAGAATTGTACTTCAGTACAGTTCTTGAGTAAATGTAGTTACTTTCCAACAATGATCAGACATCCTTGTCGTAAAATACATTTCAGCCATTGATGGACAACATGTTTTCATCCCATTTCATCTAAAATTGCCGCTTTGTGAGTGGACCTACATTGATACCCCTTTTCCACCATACTAGTTCTTGATAGTGTTGTGTCGTTCGCGAAGGAATCGTTCAAAAGAACGAGTCTGTTTAGTGTACATACTGAACTGAATCACTTCTAGAACTGATTCGTTCATTTCTCAGTTCAGTGGGGCTCAGCAGCGAAGCGTGCAGGCCAGGAGTGGAACTGCCAATTCGGTCCGTGCGAACGATGAATCACTTGCCAGTCGCGAGACAGCCAGGGTGCAGGGAGGAACTGCGTACCGAGTGGCAAATCACTCAGTGAACAAATCACTCTGTGAACGAATCACTCGGTGAACAAATCACTCGGTGAACGACGTAACCCTGATCCCTGAGTGATTCAAATAATTTCTTCTCAACCATTCACTTTCATAGGGACCGTTTTCTCCAAGCTAACAGCTAATGTAGCCAGGAGTCAAGCCATATGAACACAATCACACACCTCCCCATTGTTTTAACAGACTTAGTTTCCAGATAAACAAACTTAAAACGTTAGGCTGGCCAGTAATGAGACTCACCAGTGCAGGGCAGACGCAGCAGCAGCATCAGAGAGAGACTGAGTCGGACTACGCAGTACACAGTCAGGGCTTCTCCCGCCAAGCGCTGAACGATTCGGTGAACGAATCTTTTGAACAAATCTTTTTAATGAACTGATTCTAGTGATTCAGTAACATCTAAAGAACTGCTTTGCCCATCACTAGCTCTTGAACCGGTTCTCTTCAAGATTCTTGGAGCCTTGGTGCCATCTAGTGAACCAGCTCGTGTTTCCATCAGTTTGTAGTAGAATCATTGTAATAACTGATGTGTCATTGAGGGAGGGCATTGCACAATGTACAATGGAAGTAGTGGCAAAATCACGGATGACACTGTGAGCTTCGTTGTCATTACAGATATTTGTTTGCACCCAAAAACAAACAAGGACCAACTATTAATAAGGTCACTGCACGCTCTTTTTGTTCTGACTCTGTTGTAGCTCTCTCAATCCTCTCTTTCCATGACAGGCCCACTGATGTCATCACAGTTTACACTTAGGCTACTGTCAAGAAATACTGCTGTTTTTTGGTTCCAGCTGAGAAGCAACTTTTCAGTTCTGAACCACTTTATTTTTGGTGAAAATGCCCAGAACGATTCATAATTAGGTGCAGGACCTGGAACGGAACTGGTTCCATGTTGGTGGAAAAGGGGTATGAGTGGGCCTGTGCAAGCCCCGGGCCCCAAGTGTCAGGGGCATCCACAAGACTAAATTTGCAAAATATCACTTAAATTAACACATACCATCCAGGAAGAGACTCCAAATGACAACAGAGACACAAAGAGATGCAAAAACGGGCGAAACCACCACAAAGACAAACAAAATGACTGTGAAAGAGAGATGAAATTACCTCCATTAGACACAAAATGACCACGGGGACGCACAAAACCACAAAAAGATGCCTAACGATTACAAAGACATGCAACACTACCACAAAGTCTGCCTGTCTTGCTCTTATGTATGAGAGGTGGTGGGGCCCTTTGCATCACTATGCTCAGGTGCCCATGTCTCATAATGTAACCATGGTGTTAGCTCTGAGCTGTAGGCCTATTTTGAGTAAACAAAAAAACAAAGTTTATTCCTTTTATACTGTAAATGGAAATTTTCCTCACATTTGGTTCCGGTGTGATTAGTGTCAGCCGTCTTGATGTGTGAACTCCGCCCCTCCTCCTTGCTCTGTGTTACAAAAGCAGCGAACACAGTAAATCACACACAGCTCTACGCAACCATGGCTGACACCGGTGAAAAGACAAAAACACCTACGAAGGGGGTGAAAATTGTAGTCGAATACTGGTAATTACATATTTTATTATACTCACTGTCACTGTGTGTAAGGTTTGGCTACCCGTGTGTGTTTGTGTCTCTGTCCGTGCCGTAAATCCTACTTTAAAGATGACTGTTACTACGGATTAGCTGTTAGCATGATTAGCTCGCAGCTAGCTCCGGCTAACGCTCACTGACCGACATACGGATTCCGCTTTTAAAATACATGCATTTTCCCCTTGCAGCGGTAAATGAGGGTATGAACCCCGCTATCGGGATCTCCAATCGGGTGTCAAGGAGGAGTTTCCTGATGCGGATGTGTCAGGCTTCGTGGGAAGACAGAGTAAGTTATTGGTAATCACGTTGTTATTAAGCCAAGACCTGAACTGTGACCTGTTGTTTATGATATTAGTCGTTAATGTGAAGGGATGTGTCATTAAAGGCAAAGATCATCTAGGCAGCATGAAGGGTGATGATAACTTAAGTATTATTTTTATTACTTTGCAGGCAGCTTTGAGGTTGTCATCAACGGTCAGCTGATCTTCTCCAAGCTTGAGACAGGAGGGTTCCCATATGAAGATGATGTGAGTAGATTTACAGGCTCAACAGGCCCTTTACAAACCATCACGTGATCAATAGAGGAAATAATTATGATAATCATTAGTTACAGTACAAATGAGCTCAACACCAACTTACTACAAGAGTTAAACTCTGCTTTTACATTAATAAAATAATAATCTAATGATAAGATATATTGTATGTATAAAATAATATACTGGCATGGGTGGGTGATAAGGCCCTAAAATAATATCACGACATTTCATATTATATTACCTTGCGATAATTATACGACGAATACATCAAAATATATATATAGTTTATTACTGATATAAGAACGTAGTATTGCAACAAACAGGTGATATATTTTTACATGTTAACCAAACCGTTTGCCTTCAGATAGTCAGTAAAAACTGAACAAAAATGATCTCTCATTTCTTTAGTTTGTGAACAACAACAGTAACTCAGAGTGAGATTCAGATTCTGTATACAAAAATAATAGTTCAACAAAATAATATCTACCACATATTGCACATTTAAACAGTTTCCAAATCTAAAAAATGTCCCCTGGGTTCTACATGTGTAAACCAACACATTATTTGCTTCGCTTTTAGCAAAATCCTAAATAATTAAGTTGTTATTTTCCCCACCTGGAACTTTTTATGCCATTTCTCCTCTAGTCATCACTCTGCAACCTGTGACGGGCTGTTATGCTACCAGTACTATTGCACATTCAAATATATGTAGTTTTTGTTGAGCCGCGAGCGTCACATAGGTTTACATTACCAAATGTTTAGTCACATTACGACATTAGCCATGTTTCCATCAGCCTGTTAAGATGCGCATCTAGAAGTATCGCATCAGAAAATTATGATGGAAACGCCAAAATTCGAATTAAAATCCCCTGATTTGCACAAACTAAAATATGTTTGCTTTATCCGGGTTTTGGTTGATTCGAAAAATTGTTGATTTGCAAAACGGGGGATGGAATCAGTTATGTTTGAATTAAGTCTGACGTAGCGCACCTCTCTCCATGGTGATATCCACACTCCAGGTCAGGAAGGCGGTAATGCATTTACAAGCTGGTTGCCAACTGCCAGAAAACGTAGAAGAAGAATGCGAGACTTGTTTCATTTCCGGTTCTGCGGAAAACTCGCGCGAGTTTGTAGTTTTCACCAAAGTCCGTACATTTAATGGAAACACACAGGATTCGTATTTCTTTTAATGCACATTTCCCAATGATTCAAATCACTTTTGGATGGAAACATAACTACTGACTCCCGTGTGCACACAGCAAGAGGGGAGAGACGCTGTCTGCAGAGCCACTGAATGAGCTCCCTCAGCAAGGACGGTAATTCAGGGTAACTTGCTAAAACAGTCTGAGAAGTCCGGGGCTCTTAATAAAACATTCAGGACACCCAGGCCTAAAGACGTCACTGTTTATTCCACACTACTGAAGCTGCGCCTCATTTTAGAACCACCACGGAGTTGGTAATAAATTCACTTTCAGCCATGCAAAGCATCAGGATACTTGTTTCAGCACATTTAAATCACAACAATAACACTGTCTGATTTATATGTTGTCCTGCCACAGATCTTGAATGCAGTCCAGGACGCCTACGATGGCAAACCACCGAAGAAGATCACCAAAAGCCATGCACCCTGTGTCATCATGTAAACCTCCCTCAGTCCTGCAGCATGAAGACGGGCCAGTGCAACTGTATACTGCCAATGCCACCTGCGGTCTACTCTCAGCCCTGCTTAAAAACGGGCTGGGATAAAACCTCGCTGTATACAAACCCATCAGAGATGCACTAGGCCCACTAGCTGCTCTGTTTGATGCAGATCGCCAAACGTCTGGCTCCCCCTCTCTGCTCTCATTGTGGTTCTCCAGGCTGTTAATGATTACTGTAGCCTAAAAGGTTAAAGGTTATAGTATGATGAATCCACTCCTGGAAGTCCCTTATTATGAGAGCTGAGGTGGGGAGAAGATGTTGCTGAAGGGTTTCCTATAACCTCATTGCCTGTACTTCTCTAATTGCTGAATTGTTTTGGGTTTCTTCTTTAAGTTTTTGTTTATACTGATCCTACATGCAATTACCAGTTTTCATTGAATGCAAGGACCGTGCACAGTAGTTGCACGTCATTTTTTGAAAGGAGACTGCCTCTTGATTTCTGCCTCTGTACCGCTCTATGCTAATAATGTGCTACTAAAGCATTTTTCTAAGAGTCTGGCTATTTCAGACACTTATTACTGTAAAAGTTGTGGATAGTGAAGCAATGTTATGTAATGTGTGGTTGCTGAATGCAAAACTAAGCATACAATTGTTGTCTTTCTGTATACGTATCAAATTGGGATAGTTTTAAATTTCTGCTTTCTGCTTATATTTTTAGTTTTTTTTTTTGTTGTTTTTTTTTGTATGATTAGCTCCTCTGTAATTTAAATTGATTAGGCACTAGAGCGATCGTCAGTGCTTCTGAAGACCACCGCCCACTGGTCTGTCAGCTCACTCTCAGTTCCATGCTGGCTCATTTTCCACTAATCATGTCGCATTGTTCACTCTGATGTCAAAGCTGCAAACTTTAAATAAAGCTGAGGGGTTCTTTAAGTACTATTGTTTGTCACTTTCATGACATCACAGTTTTTTTTATTATAAGCATACTGTATGATTACACACAGACACAAAAGAGCTATTACACAATCTTTTTGTAAGTGCTCTATAATTAGCTATAACTGCATGTAAAGTTTTAAGCAACAACATACGTGTTCTTATCTAAGAATTCCTAACTGGGTGTGGTGATGGTGTGCAGCCTTAATATAATGCTTCTCCTTTGGGAGGCACAAGTTGGAAACTGGTTGTGCTTTGTTATGTTATCAACCTGCATGGCAACAGTTGGTCGAGTCGAAGAACACTGAACATAAACAGCAGATATTTGTCGTCTGTGCACCTACACAGAAGTAAACCTAAACATTTGTAAAACTAACAACATTTTTTTAAACAATCTATGTAGTTTACTTCTGGGGAAATGCTTTGCTGCAATTAGGGATGTGGACAGTGAGGAAAAACCTGACTATCACGCAGAGCAAAAAACAAATTATGAAGTCATGCAGTGTTTCTGCCTTATTTACACTGAGGGGCGCCAAAATCAACAAAGACTGCCACCTTCAGTTTGTGGCCTCTGGCATTTCCTCACTCAAAGCACACAAAAGTGTCACACTGAAGTGCACGGAGGGAATTCAAATGAAGACATTTGTGTGGAGCAGTCTGGAAAGCTGCGACCACCCTGCTGAGTGTTCTCACAATATTGTCTGCTACAAATAACTTTTTATACAGTTAATGAGAATATTTTATTTTTGTAAAGGTGGCGAGTCAGCTACCACTGAACACAAACATTAGAGTGATAGATACAATATATAGGTAAATTATGAGTCTACAAAAAGTGAGCACTGATTAGTATTCTGACTTGAATTGTCAAAGTGCTGGTCAATTCTTTTAGTTAGCTGAAGCGAAGTCACACTGACCCACAGTGTGTGTACTGCTTGTTAATGGAAGGCAGGTTGTGTAGCTGAGTAATACACTGTGACTAGGTGGGTCTTTGGTGCTAGTTCTGGCTCTCAGTGATAACAGCCTGCTTGTTGTAATGCTGATAGAGCCCATCTGTGCTGCTGTCGTTAGTCTGCCAATTAGAGTTTTGAAAATGCACAGTGCCTGTATAAGTATTTGATTTGGACCTTACAGATACAGGTGTATTTCTACAGTTATATGCAACTAATTATGTGACTTCTAAATCCTCCTATTAAAGGCGAGCAAATAGTAAGGCAAACATGTATTTTGTATTTATTTTATTTGCATCACTGAAGAAGAAATATGTCTTTTTCTGCTGATCAGTGTGAAAAAAGCCATATCTGCTTTGATTCAACATTGTAAGACGACAAAACTTATATTGAGGGAATGCTTTTTACACGCACTGCAGCTATGTGAATTTGGTTTTCTGTCGTTTGACAATGGCATTTTAAATTTGACTCTGCAGCTGTGTCATAATCAACTCCAAATACTGACATGATGCATTTCAGCCACTTCCCTCATATCCTTTTTTTCCTTAAAAAGTAGGTAAGAAGTCCAAATACTATTTCATCCACATGCCTGATGCCTATGTTACAGATGTGTCATGTTATATCCTTTCAAACTGCATCGTTATAAGGAACCCCACATGTTATATTGTCTGTCATTTTATACCTTTTTCAAATCTTGTACTGTGTAAAACAAGATTTCAAATTGTCTTTATATCTCAATTTGCTCAATTTGCAATTCTGTACATTAAACAAAACTCCCCAAATAATGCATTCAAATGGCTATATGAAGACTGGGAGTGTCTGTATGCTGTATGTTGAGACACATGGACACAGCAGATAACAGGTCTGTGCCACAGTGTCTCCAGCCGGGGGCCCACCGTCCCTCACTGTGGCTTATATGTATGTATTTTCACAGTGTGGTAAGTAGAATCATTTTGACACTCTGACCTTCATTTAGCACCTCTTTATCAGGTCAAATTGTTATTTGTCTGATACTTGGGTTTGTGACCAAATACATGGAAAACCAGTGACAGAGAACAGGTCATTTCAGGTCAGTGTCTGCCAAAGGTGACACTTTATTTTATGAGAGAACAGTGTGTGCATTTTTCCTGTAATGACCTAAACATCTCTAACAAACAACATTAACTCATTAGTTCCTCCCTGCATTCCTTATTAGTTTCAGGACTTATGCAGTCAGGCGTTACTTTTTCTTTCCTAGCACGAATTTCTTGCATCAAACTCATGACTCAGGCTCATTCTCTGGCCACAAGGAGTCAAATCACACACACTTAAGGTTTGATGACAAAGTGGAATAGATGTTAAGTGAGATAAAGTTGGGGCCCACAATGAAAGGTCTGCAGTAACCAAAAAGCAACATCTGCCAGAGATAAACACAATCAAGATTTTCTCCATTGTGATAGAAAACTGTATTTTTCTTTCAGATTTCACGTGACTTGCACAAGATCTCCACACAGCAGACTTACTCAGCACATATGACTACATGCATATTACAAAAGGCACATGTGGCCTTGTGGTGACTGGAGGCTGAAATCAGTTATCAGGGACATTGTATTTGATGTCACAGACAGAATGGAGGCTTTTGTCCACAAGAGTTTGTATTATTACCTCAGTCAAAAAAGTGAAATCCACTTCCTGCTTATTAGTTAGTTTTGTCTACATAGTGTGCTGAAATAAACACTAATGTGGACCACACTGACATCGGCACTTACCTATTTTATATTTGATATGTGTTATCTCTATTGTGTACCTCTGGAAAAATATCACTACATTTATGGCTGTTTCACAAAATATTTTCACTTTATTTGTTTCAATTATGTAAAAGTATCCACTCTTATAATCAAATGATTTATAATTAATTAATTGGCTTTTCCAGCCAACATCACTGTAGTTGTGGATGAACTGTTATAATTAAGTAGCGTAGAAGCAAAGCAGGTAAGTAGTATGATTTATAGACTCTAATATGGGTTTGATCATTTAATGACAGACATGACAAACATGACAAACTTAAAGTAATGCTGATGAGGAATTCATTTAAAAGAAATATTAAGTGCAGCTTAGTAGCAGAGATCATGAAACTGTGTGTTTGCAAATATCTTAAAAAGCTCTGTCCCCTTTGGTCCTCAGCCTAGACTCTGGAACAAGCAGAAGACCTCTGCCTGAGGATCTCAAACTACACAGTGGTTCATAAGGGAAGTTACAGGTCTTAAAAGTAATCTGGATCCAGGCCACAAAGAGCCTTAAACGTAATCAAAAAGAAGCAAATAAAATGTTACAGAGAGAAACAGGGGCCACAGGTGCTGCCTCCAAAGTATGCCAAGTAGACTTGGCGTCATCTCTAAACAAATACCAAAGGTAACCACGGAGGTTTGCAATGTGGCAGCATTTAACATCCAGCACCACTAGACCCCTTCGAGAGAGCATTGCGTTGTACTAAGTTTCAACCTAGCCTGCATATTTCTCCAGAGAAAGGAGGACAGAGAGCTGTTTACAAAGTGTTTTTATTGAGAGTTGGGATCATTTCAAGGGGGTACAAGAACTGTGGAAGTCACCAAGGCTGTCCAGCAGGCCAGGTCCTCTTTAATCTAGTGAATTAGGGGCATGAGGTTAGCTTTGTACAACTACCAGAGAAGGAGGGCGTAATATTTAGGGGACCAGGATACATTAGGAGTCAGAGGCATTACCTACGACTTAGAGTAATTAATCTTGTGACCTAAAATTGGCTGGTGCATCTAATTATCTCAACTGCTCTTGCAATAGAAACCCCAGGGTTAGAAGGATAAAGCATGATGTCGTCTGCGTAAAGGGAACTTGCATACAACACAGGACCCACATCTATGCCTGTTACTAACAGGTCACTCCTAATGACCTCTGCCAAGGGCTTCATGGGTATGGCAAACAAAAGGTGTAGCGACTTCACAAAACAAAGAGTCGCTGAGAGCCTGCAGCCAGGCCTTTCCTTTGTCTGACGCGCTTAACGGGAAAAATCACTGAGATGCGAAAAAAAATAAGTTTAACTTTTTATTAACGAAAAAGAAATAATCATCTCATGATACTGTGCACAAACTCATAATCAAAGTGATCACAGTGATCAAAGAAAATAGCGGTCAACAAAAAATACGGCGACCCTGCTCACCCTCTCTCTCTCTCTGGCCACACAGGTGAGCAGGTGCCTATATTAACCTAATATCCCCGCCCATATCCATATGACCTACTTTCCTCATCAACATGATCACAAAAAAGCCTAAATAATATCATAAACAATAACAAACACCAATATTTAAATTTAAACTGTCATACACCTACAAAAATACCTCTGAATTCATTCATGGCTCCTACAAAAGGGGCGAGGCTGGGCAACCTTGTCTGGAGTTACGGCCCACTGCAAACTCAGAGCACTTCAGGCCATTTGTGATAACTGAGGCACGAGGGGCAGCATATAGAGGAGATGTCTATTTAATAAAACTGTCATCTAAATAAAATTTTGAGAGGACACCCAACAGATAAGGCCATGCAATCCTGTTGAAGGCCTTCCCTGCCCCGAGGGAGATCACGAGAGATTTGGCCTTTAACTTTGTGCCATATTCCTTGTATTATTGCATGAGTTGCACCCTCTTATGAAACCCATCTGATCCAATGAAATGATTCTAAGTATTTTGCAATTTGATCAGGTTGAACTGTCACAGTCCAGGAAATGATATTTCCAAACATGCAGCACCCTTTCAGAAACTGTAATGACAACCAAGTTTTTTAAAGTTTTATGTTTTTTTAGTTGTAGGTTGTTTGTTGTTGTTATAATACTCTGTCTCTGATGTTTTTTTTCCCTCCACCAGTCTGCACAGCAACCCTGTGTCAGTATCTGACATCACACTGGGTTTCACCACGAGCAGCTGCAGAAGATGGCAAACCCTGTCGCTGCCACTTGTACTGCACACAAGACAAACCAAGTGAGCACGAGGGCAGTATTGAAAAAAGGTTTGATATGTTTATCACATGACTTTCCTCAGGATAATCACATCAAAGGAACTCCCCCACCTCATCATCAGGGAATCCCCAGCACGTAAACAAGATGACGTACTAAGATGCTGTCTTTCTGATAGTGTATGTTGCCCCCTTTTTTTAGCCCCTTTACCTTCTGTGTGGCCCTCACACAGGACGAGGTCAGGCCTGCTGGTCCAAACAGGTTCCTCTTAAGGCCTCTGTCCAGGCTCGGACCTGCTTCATGCTGGTAGGGCGGAGCGGTCTAATTAGGGTTGGGATATCCCTGTCTCAAGGTGTCCCTGACCGATAGGGCTGTTTGTCTGTCTTGCAGGCCTTATCTCCCGCAACCCCCCCGCCATGTTGCTCAGCAACCAGAGGGGTTGTGAGGTACGGCACCTCTTAGGGTCGACGTAGTTTCATATGGGTGTTCCCGCTCTTCTCGTCCTCTTTCTGTACTCATCTTTTCGTTTGCCCTGGTTCACTTTATCAGCAGGCTCGTGTGGGCTGACAGAACAGAGATCTGCTGTTTCCAGTGCTGGAGACCAGGTGGGAGTACCTGCGTGCAGGTAGGGGTGTGGCTTTCTTTGGACAGGGGTCTGACAAACTTTGTGGTACTACTGGACTAGAGAGTAAAGGTCAAAATGGATGGATATCTGAATGCACCTTGATAGGAGAGGAGCGTACTCTAACCTTTAATATCTTTGCCATGCTAGTAAAATAAGGGCGGGAGTTTAGATGAAATTATTTTCTTGAGCTAAAATTATTTTCTCAGAAAAGAATATTAATCTTTATGATGTTTGCTGGGCACATTTTGTTTAAAAACAATTCAAACATTTTTACTTATTTGAGGTCAAGCTCAAGTGGCATTGTCAGCTTTGGATTTTCTGAATTCATTGCACTTTTAGGAATATTGCACCTGCTTATTTTAGCTTTGGGCTAAAATAGCTGTCTATTCTCAGTGTTACATGTGAAGAATTGGTACCAAGAAATGGTTGTGAATGTCCTACTCAATGTTGTGCATGTGTAAAGTAAATGTGAAGTCGAATGGCCTCTATTTAGGCTATCTGATGAGAAATATTTTCAACTGCAGTTTGGGGGAAAAAAAGTTAGGTTTGTTCAGTTGTTTGTGAAATTGAAATGCAGTCAAGTAAAAACAACATGCTATGCTACATTCTGAGAAATATACTGTTAATTTAGAGTATTTGAGTCTGATTGTAACAGTTTTCTATTACTGGCTATTACAGTAGCTGCACTTAAAAGTTTTTACTGTACTATTACTGAAGAGAACAGAGGTCTGTGGTTAAAGAAGGGTGTAACCCAAAGATAAGGCTGTGTACATCTTCTTTTGAAAATATAACGAAGCTCACATTCTCACCAGCTGGTTCACTATCTGTCCTGAGCTGCGGCTCTGCAGGCAGACGCAGAGCGGTTCTGTGGCGGTAGATGACGGCATCTTCATCAAAGTTGCCTTAAAAAGGCCCAAAGCAGGCCTTACTGGTCTCTGTAGTGGCTTAGCCTAGTTGACAACAAAATAAACGATACTTTTACTATGATTGCTACAAAAATATGACATGTATTTATTGCAAATTGTGTGCTTTGGAAGATGTAGTTGCATCTCATTATGTCAAAACTCACAACTTACAAATCACCAGTTAAAGAAGAGCTTTCATTTTAATGGTCCCAAATGAGACACTGGTTATTTCTAATTGTGTTGTATCTCATATGGTCATTACATGTTTTTTTATGTTCTATCACTTTTTCTGTCTTAGGGAATGCATACAAGTAGCTGAGAGTTCAACATCTGAAAAACATCAATGGATAACCATTTCACTTTTGAGGTTAGTCGTGCTTCCTTTAACATCTAACAGTGTAACAGTACAACATGCAGCATTACAATTGGTACAAAATATCGTGCAACATCTCACAGAGGAAAAAGATCTTATGAAATTGGTCAGGACGGAGAGTTTGGAGTTTGATGTATTCGGTTATTCCTGCAACAATATATATTTTCCCTTTATCAAACAATTTTCATCCAACTTTCTTCTATGACTACTTCTTTAACTTTCCTCTTGACTAGGGCAGTGACGTGTCCTATGAAGACAACGACTCAGCCCTCCCATCTCCAGTGAGACTGTGAGTCCGCATTTTGCACTCTCTGTTTAAGCAGTACGTTACCTGAATATGTACTGTGACTGTACACTGGGATTCTGCATCATGTTTCTTATAAAACAAAGCTAATAGGTCTGTCTTGCCCTGAACTGAGCATATCAGGCAGTGCTCACAAGGTGTGCAAACTAGTCCCTCCAATCCCGTGATTATATATATATATTTTTTAAGCTGTAGTAGGTAGGCTATAGTAGTTAAGCTGCTTTGATCAATGGTTGTAACAATGACATTTTAGCTCTTGTTGTTCTGGTTTGGTGGGCCGTTACTTTAATGTTTTGTTATTTTCTTTAAGTGAATACATTCTGATGAACCCACTTTACACTCCCATCCCACCACTCATCAGGCTGGCTCATGAACAAAGTGGTACATGTAGCAGCTAAAGACTCTGATATAATCAAAGTTGGTGGAGACCAAACACAGAGCTAAAAACCAGAGAGAAAATTTGATTTACATTCATCAGACGGCCCAGAATACTTATACAAATAACGCTAATGTGTTCACTGAGTGTAAACAGCTAACTGTTTGCTAACATGCTCACCATAACAACTGTTAAAGGCAATAATGTTATGTCAACAGCTTGTTTGTACTGCCCCCAAGTGGCCAATTAAAACTTAACAGATGCAGGTCTAAGGCTGGGGTATGCTCAAGTCAGGTCTATTCCCATGCTTATTACCTGCAAGCATTCAATCTATCTGATAACTATGAAATATTAATCAAAATTAGAATAAAATCAGGGTGAAGCTACTTTGAATAATAGAGATGGACTGGCTGATTTTGCTTTTCAGTTTGTTTGCTCTCAGAAAACAAAAATGAAATTCACAGACATATTTATAACTTTGATTTTGATTTGAATGATTATTTACAATTCAGAAAGTGTTTAATAACTTCCACATGATGTGAAATCAACATTGAGGGCCATGGGTGACGTAAGGCTGAGCCAATCCTCGAAGGGAGGAGATATTTTTATACAGCGTGTGGTAAATATGCCCTGGAGTCTAAACTCGGGGCACAAAACCCAGTTAAACAAGCAGTCAGTGGTGAAATAATATATGTTAATCAGTCGTGCCCTCTTGTGGCCAAGAAGAGAATAGCACTAATAGCAAAAATTGACAGTCAAGGAAATTTGATCAGTCTAAACTGATACCTGTAATTGGATGGACTTTAAGTCACTTGCTATCCACAATTACAGGCTTTTAAGTGACTTATGGGAGCGCATGTTCCAAAATGATATCCCAAATTTCCTCTCCCTATCAGGGCTGAGTTGAAGGTAGCATCCTGTATGGTAGCATGAACGTGACATGTAGAATAAAAGCACTTTGAGTGGTTGGAAGACTAGAAAGGTGTGATACAACTGCAGGTCCATTTGCTATTTAAATAAGCAGACGTCATTAAGAAGCACTCATGCTCATCCCTAGTCTTTATAGCTATTTGTGTTTCTCTATACCACCAGGACTCCACCAGGCCAGATCTATGACCTGGAGGGGAGGATGCAGGAGGAGGAGAATGAGCGAGCCATGGAGGCCTTTGTCATCCCCAGTGTTTCAGAGGGTAGGTTTCCCCTCTCAGGCAATCTGTGCACAAATCATATAACTCCAGTGGTGGAATGCAGCTAAGTGCATTGACACAAGCACTGTACTTTGGTTCAAATTTAGAGTATTTGTACTCTACCTCCACTCCACCACATCTCTTTAAAACCATTGTCACAAAGCTGAAAACAGAGCTTTTTTTCTGACACGATGAGAAGTTGACTTTTTAGAGATACATGGTTCTCACAGAACAGCCACTCGACAAACATACGATGATCATAATAAAACATTGACAGGGAACATTTTACTGCACAATGAGTACTTTTACTTTTGATACTTTAAGTACATTTCAGCACAGGATCTGAATTCTTCTCCCACAAACTGTTTTCTGTCTCTTTATTTCAGCTTATCTGAACCTGAACACCAACGCCACCACAAGAGGGGATGCTCAGGTTAGTTGACATACTTCACGCTTATCAGATATAAAAGTTCACTAATGTAAACCAGCATTATCTTCTGGTGTGTTTGTTAACTTACCACACTGTATTACTACAGGCCTATGTGGAGCTGAATGAGCTCCAGGGCAGCACCTGGCAGGAGACCGGCCGCTGGGTGGGCTATGAGGAGAACTTTAACCCTGCCACAGGAAAATGGGGTCCTGCTCATGTCTCCCATCTCACCTTCAAGAGCCTGATCCAGCTCCGCAAGGCCATGGTCACAGGTGACATTGGAACTGTCAATGAATTGGAATTCAGTGCCTATATTACGATAAAATACAGCTTTGTTTTAGTTTGATGAATTAATTAAAAGCAACTCAAATGTACTCAGGTGCTTTCATCCTCGACCTGAATGCCAGCAGTCTATCTGCTGTGGCTGAGAAGATGGTTGATGAACTTCTGAACATGAATGAGATTCGCCTCTCTGATCGTGATGACTTGCTGAGAGCTCTGCTCTTAAGACGCAGGTAACCCAGAGGACGCACAAGACACACTATTTTTCTGTTTATTTCCACAAGATGCTGGCCATAGAAATGTTTACAGCATGCATCTTATGCTCCTTTTATTTGTCCTTCCAGTCAGTCTGCAGGAGCTGAGGTTGGTCCCACTGGAGACATTGAGATGCAGACTTTTTCTGTCACCAAGAAGGTATACATTTTTAATATAGTTTTGTCCATTTCCATGCAATAACATAACAGATTTGACATTTACTGCACCATTATTTCTGCAGAGAGACACCTCTGACAACATGGAGGCCTCAATTGTCCTCTCAGGTATGTTTATGTGACTCAGATGCAGTTGTGTGTCCTCATGTGGGACTCTGGAGCAGATATGGCTAAACGAGTGTTTTCGATAGGTGTATTGGACACCCTGCAGAAACCAGTGGTGGCTTTTGTGAGGCTGAGGGACTCTGTTGTGATGGAGTCCTCGCTGGAGTCTCCTGTCCCTGTTCGTTTCGTCTTTGCGCTGGTGGGGCCCAGCCAGAGTGGGATAGACTACAGTGAATGTGGCCGTGCCATGGGTGCTTTAATGGCTGACTGGGTAAGAGAGAGGAAAATAATAGCTCAGTAGCATGTAGCTTTAGCAATGAGATCACACACTGATGAAAAGAAGCCAACTTTGTTTAGTGCAGGTGAGTAAAAAGCTTTCTGGTCTCACAGGTGTTCTGTCTGGAGGCCTTCTTGGCTCAGACTGACAAGGATCTGACCAACGCCATCGCAGACTTCATGGACTGCAGCATCGTGATCCCTCCCACTGAGATCCAAGATAAGGCGATGCTTGACCCAATCATCAATTTCCAGAGGAGGATGCTGACTGACAGAGTCCGTCCCCTTGACAGCCGTCTTGCCTTTGGTGACAGGGTCATAGGTTAGCACTGTTCCTTATACTTACAAAGTGTTCAACACATATTTTCAGCACCTCACTACAATTGTTACATAAATTCATCCCTTTAACTGAAATACAATAATATTTTTCACATTAGTCTCAACCCTTCAGTCCTTAAACATGACAGGGCACATGGCATTAAAAAGAAGGATTGTGCTGTTTTGGAACCAACAAGGTTTTATGGGAAATGTGGTCTTAATTTTGAGAACATCAGCGTTATCATTAACATACAGCACCTTTAAAATGTATTCACTTACACACAGAGAACAATAAAATCAGAACAGATAGGCAATTGGAGCCTTGCTGAAGAAATTAAAAAATGCTTAAAAAACAATCTAACCCCCATACATACTGTGCGGGTCAAACTTGACCTGTTTTAACATTTGACGGCAGTAAAAACACCCGAAATACCATTCTTTTAGCCTAAAATATGACTATTATATTTAAAAAACATTATACTTCCATACAGGCTCTACATATTTTCGTACACTGTTGTCATATCTGGATTTGACCGGTATCCATTGAAATGGATTTTGGATCAACCAGTGTGGGTCAAGTCAAGGAAGATGGCTTTTGTGAATCTTGAAAACTGTACATGCCATGTCTGTGTTTTGTTTTTTTTTGATGGGACAGTAGTGACAGAGTTCAAGAGGGACCCCTAACACTGTCACAAGAACTGCCTGTGTTCCCACCACATTTGCCCAGGTTCCCACTGAGTCACTGATACCTGCAACGTTACAACAAAACCCCTTAAAATAAATTACTTAAAAACATGTCGGTGAAGATTCTCAGTCATCCAGGTCATGGTACTCATAAGTGCTATATTGTAGGCAACTGCACTTGCTTGAGTTTCTTGAAGATGTTTCGCGTCTGATCCAAGAAGCTCCTTCAGTTCCAGAACTGAAGGAGCTTCTTGGATCAGACGCGAAACGTCTTCAAGAAACTTCAGTTCCAGACGTTTCTCCTCTGATCCAAGAAGCTTCTTCAGTTCCGGAACTGAAGAAGCTTCTTGGATCAGAGGAGAAACGTCTGGAACTGAAGTTTCTTGAAGACGTTTCGCGTCTGATCCAAGAAGCTCCTTCAGTTCTGGAACTGAAGGAGCTTCTTGGATCAGACGCGAAACATCTTCAAGAAACTCAAGCAAGTGCAGTTGCCTACAATATAGCACTTATGAGTACCATGACCTGGATGACTGAGAATCTTCACCGACATGTTTTTAAGTAATTTATTTTAAGGGGTTTTGTTGTAACGTTGCAGGTATCAGTGACTCAGTGGGAACCTGGGCAAATGTGGTGGGAACACAGGCAGTTCTTGTGACAGTGTTAGGGGTCCCTCTTGAACTCTGTCACTACTGTCCCATCAAAAAAAAACAAAACACAGACATGGCATGTACAGTTTTCAAGATTCACAAAAGCCATCTTCCTTGACTTGACCCACACTGGTTGATCCAAAATCCATTTCAATGGATACCGGTCAAATCCTCTGATCCAAGAAGCTTCTTCAGTTCCAGAACTGAAGAAGCTTCTTGGATCAGAGGCGAAACGTCTTCAAGAAACTCAAGCAAGTGCAGTTGCCTACGATATAGCACTTATGACCTAAAAACCATCAAACCATCAAATCCCAACCAATCAACAGAGATCAAAAGAGGGGCTGGGTGGGTCTTATGACTATGAAGGTATCTGAGCTGCCATTTTAGTGACTGAGGTTATAGAAGCAAGACTTTCTGTCCAAGAGTTCATTGATCTGGTCTCCCACTACTGCTACCACTGCTTTGATTGTTGCTGTATAGACACTTGTTATGAGGGGATTCTTAGGCCAAGTCAAAGTTGACTTGGACCATACTGTGAAGGTATAGAAAAAGGCACATCTAGTGTTATAAATATTAATGTCAGTCTGATTTGTTTGTCCAGTTGATAAAGTTCCACAGGAGCCGCGAGAAGACCCCCTGGCCCGCACAGGCTATCCCTTCGGTGGGATGGTGAAGGACATCAAGCGCCGTTACCGCCACTACATCAGTGACTACACAGATGCTCTGAACCCTCAGGTCCTCGCTGCCATCATCTTCATCTACTTTGCTGCCCTGTCCCCAGCCATCACTTTCGGAGGACTTCTGGGTAAAAGAGAGTTTCAGATGGAGAGACGTGTTTGTTTTCTCTGTCTCAGTTAATTTGCAGGAGTTAACTAACCTTATATATGAATAATAATTTTCTCTGTTGTCTGACTCTAGCTGACAAAACAGACAAAATGATGGGCGTGTCAGAGCTTATGATCTCCACCAGCATCCAGGGTGTCATCTTCTGTTTCGTCGCCGCCCAGCCTGTCCTTGTCATCGGATTCTCCGGACCACTGCTTGTGTTTGAGGAAGCTTTTTATGCTGTACGTATGATTGAACGGATTTCAAAACTCAATCTTAATCTTTAATTAGATATTTTTTCTTCATTAGCATCTACCTTCCTTTCTTTATTCCATACTAGTTCTGCAAGTCCCAGCACATTGAGTACATTGTAGGCCGTGTCTGGGTGGGGATGTGGCTGATAGTGATCGTGGTCATCATTGTGGCTGTGGAAGGCAGTTTCCTGGTCAGATTCATCTCCCGCTTCACTCAGGAAATCTTCTCCATCCTCATCTCTCTCATCTTCATCTATGAGACCTTCAGTAAACTTATCAAGGTTTCCTCACCTCATCATTTTCATCCATTTCACATCACAGACTCCATTTCCCTGTAATCACCTCATGTGTTGTCTCTTATCTAACTTCCTCTTACCTCTCATCTCCTCTTGCTCAGATCTTCAAAGCTCACCCTCTGATTCTGAACTACGAACATCTGAACGACACAATGGACAACCCTTTCCACCCAGTCATTAAGGAGCATGTGGAGAAGCATCCCGATGGCAACATAACCATTCGTAAGCTGGAGACTGAAAGGCCCTACCCCAACACTGCCCTGCTGTCTATGTGCTTGATGTTTGGTTGCTTCTTCATTGCGTACTTCCTCCGCATGTTCAAGAATAGTCATTACTTCCCCGGCCCAGTAAGATCATCTTTCTATGTCCAGAGATGTTTTTTTTAAAGTTTCTGTAGTATTCTGTGATACTGACCTCCTCTCTGTCTCATTAGCTCCGTCGTTTGATTGGAGATTTCGGTGTCCCCATTGCTATTTTCTTCATGATTGCTGTGGATATCAGCATTGAGGATGCTTACACTCAGGTAGGTGTGGTGTTGTGGTGAGTTAAATCATCTCTCAAGTAAGTTTTTAACAGTGATCATATTTTTGCTAAAAACAAACAAAAAAATCTTAAAGGGAAAGCTCATCCCATAATCAAAAATATATATTTTTCTCTCACCTGCACTGCTAGTCCTCAATCTAGATTGTTTCAGTGTGAGTTGCAGAGTGTTGGAGATATCAGACTGGAGATGTCGGGCATCCCTCCAACATAATGGAACTAGATGGCACTCGGGTTGTGCTCAAAGCACCAAAAATACATTTGAAAAACTCGACAGGAATATCTCTTTCCAGAGAACATGACCCAGTTACTTAAGATAATCCACAGACCTTTCTTGTAAGAAGTTTCAAATAGGAGCTATATTCTCTTTCTATCGAACTACACCCAACAACCATACCACCGCGCAGAAGGAGGCGTGTATCATGGACAAGAGACTCTTACTTGAGACAGTGCGAGATGTAAGCATTATTGGCGTCCTGCTGTAATGATAGCTAGCTCAGTGGTGCTCGGTGAGCTAGCTGTAGATGCACACTTCCTTCTTCAAAGTGATTTTGTTGGTGGGGCTGTAGTTTGGTAGAGACTAGAGAGAATAGTTTCTACATGAAACTGCTCACAACAAGATCTGTAGCTTATCTTGAGTAACTGGGTTGTGATTTCTGGTGAGCGATGTTACTTTTAAGTTTTTCAAATGTCTTTCTTGGCACTAAACACACCACAAGCCAAGTGCCATCTAGTTCCATTATACTGAGGAGAAAGCAGACATTTCTACAGCCAATACCTCCAACACTCAGCAACTCACACCAAAACAATCTAAACTGATAAACAGCACTACAGGTAAGAAGAAAAATGTGAATTTTCGATTTGGGGGTGAACTGCCCCTTTAAACCGAACATAATGTGCATTCAGATACAGTATATCTAAATGTTTTGTTTTGTATACAGTATAGGTAACTGACAAATCATCCACATTAAGATGGCTTTCTATGCCAGTTATTGTTTAATGGTTTGGAGCACATTTAAGGTCAATGATTCTGAGCCTGGTGGGTCTTTTATTTCAAATGTTCGGAGAATTATTTGATTTTTTTATTTTAATGAAAACATTTTTTTATTCTCTTTATATCTTCTATTGTATATTTTATTTCATTGTATTGTAATATTTTATATTTAAAGTGACCATGGATCATGGCATTTCTTGTAGCATTTCACATCATGTGTGTAAATACAAATGTGCACTTTGGTCCAGATCTTGACTATGGATAACATAACATACTTCGCTGATTAATGGTTATAATCAAGGACACACTGGTAAATAGAAAGTTATGTAGAGTATGACCTTCAGTTGGAGATTGTCATAAAGCGAGTAAACACCAATAGGCAAAAAAATCAGTTATAGGTCCACTGCTTGTGTATCACCAACATTCATTCAACAGAACTAATCATCATGTCTTTTAAACATCTCTGAAAACTCACTCCATGTACATAAAAAGGAAGATAAAGTTTATGTTCCTTGTTATAGTCCTCTTTTATTTTTTGACTTAACTCAAACTATGTTCTAATGCGCTAACTTTTTCCACCCTTTGCAGAAACTAGTTGTGCCAAAAGGCATTCAGGTGAGCAACCCCAAAGCCAGAGGCTGGTTCATCAACCCCATGGGACATAAACAGCCTTTCCCCATCTGGATGATGGCTGCCTGCTGTATACCAGCATTGCTTGTCTTCATTCTTATCTTCCTGGAGTCACAGATTACTACGTAGGTGACACCATAAACAATAAAATAAGATTGAAATACTGAAATTAAGATGAGATTTTTGGTAAATTTCTTTCTCTCTGTGTATTACCAGGCTGATTGTAAGCAAACCTGAAAGGAAGATGGTGAAAGGATCCGGTTTCCATTTTGATCTTCTCCTCCTGGTCACCATGGGGGGCATCTCCTCTATCTTTGGAGTGCCCTGGCTTAGTGCTGCCACTGTGCGATCTGTCACCCACGCCAACGCACTCACTGTCATGAGCAAAGGCCCCAAACCAGAGATTGAGAAGGTGATAGAGCAGAGGATCAGTGGCATCTTTGTGGCCATCATGGTTGGTAGGTACAGCCATCCACAGTACTGGTGCGGACACAGCAGTCTCAGAATAAACTACCATTTCCCTTTATTCATCCAATTTCTGTGACTTCCAGGTGTTTCTATTTTCATGGAACCTATTCTGAAGATGATTCCGATGACAGCCTTGTTCGGCATCTTTCTCTACATGGGTATCACTTCTCTGAGTGGAATCCAGATGTGGGACAGGATGCTTCTGTTGATTACACCAAAGAAATACCATCCCCCTGATGCCTACGCTACCAGGGTACGCAGCCTCCTCAAACATACTTTAAGTGCAAACATTTAAATTTTTTCAGTTGAGAGACCTTTATGTCTGGAAATGAGTCATTTTGAAAATACAAAGTTAGTTTCACATGTTTGCAATAACTTGCACCCCACATTGCTGTAAAGACTTCATTGCTCGAGATATCTTTAGAATAATCTTATTTTATATTGTTGCTAGTGAGCGAGGGAGGTTTAAATTCAACATTATGGGCATTGGGTGCCTCTTTGTGGTTGTATAGAATCTATTTATAGATCTTTCACATCATTTTTTGGTTGTTTTAAGTCTCACTGCTGTTCTTTAATGTCTTTTTTGGTCATTTTGCATGTCTTTGTGGTTATTTTTCACCACTTTGTAGTCGTTTCACATCTTTTTGTTGTTTGTTTGTATGTTATTGTGGTTTCTTGAATTTCTTTGCAGTCATTTTGCATCTGTTTATGATCATTTAACTTTTTTTGGTTAGTTTTGAGACTTACTGCTGTCCTTTCATTTCTTCTTGTGGTCGTTTGTAGTTGATTTGAGGTTGTTCCGAGCTTTTTTTGTGCTTTTTCCACATCTTCTGATTTTCATATAGTGACTCTTTGTGGTCATTTCGTATCTTTTTTGGTCTTTTTGAGTCTCTTTCTTGTCATTTTCCATCTCTTTGTAGTTGTTTGACATATTTTGACGGTAGTTTTTTTTTTCACCCTGTGGCCATTTTGTATCTCATGGACCCCTGACCCCTAAACCTATGCTCTGTAGACCCATTTGGTAAACCTTTCATGCACAGGACTGTCACTTTGTCCTTATATTTCAGTGTTTTTTTTTTAATCTGTGACAATCTCCCTGTAAACAGAAACTAGTATTTTGTACATTTCCATGTTAGTGTTTGGCACTGTGCTCCCCTGCTAACACTTTTATCTGTTGTCCCTGATGCAGGTGAGCACATTGCGGATGCATCTCTTCACTCTGATCCAGCTCGTGTGCCTGGCTGTCCTGTGGATGGTGAAGATTAGTCCCTTCTCCCTGGCGCTGCCTTTTGTTCTCATTCTCACCGTCCCTCTACGCATGGTCATGACTGGCACACTCTTCTCTAAGTTTGAGATGAAATGTGTAAGTACCTCTTTGTATTTGTTACATTCACTGCAATCTCAGGCACACATTGTCATGTTATTTGATGTGTAGGTTTCTCAGTTGTAACCAGATATGTTCGTGTTGCAGCTGGACGCAGATGATGCCAAAGTGACGTTTGAGGAGGAACCTGGGGTAGATGTGTACAATGAGTCCCCTCTGCCATAAACAACACCATATCATCCATGTTTCATTCACAAACTGCCAGTAATTATGTAACAATTTCACATCAGGTGTCTTTCACAATATGTATTTGTAAACGTACACAGTTGCAAACTTTTCTGTTTTGTTATTATTATTTATCTTTAAAGGAAATTACCTCTCATTTCTAGAAAACATACATCATTTCCACAGCTGAGTCTGTGTGTGTGAGACCCTGAACCACAAGAGAACCAATAATACAGTCCATATTGTCATCAAGATATGCAACATCATGTTTTGTCTAGGAAAAAAAAAATTGATTTATTTAAATGAGAAGTATTTTCCCTTAAGATGTGAGGGAAATCCATTTTTAAGATTTTTTTTCTTTTAGTGCATAACTACACGAGCTTTAAAGTGACTAGCAGTGATGCTGCATTGTAGATCTGTGAGTGTGATTCCACCTGACTTAATGTTCATTATTTAAGTTAAGCAACTTTAATCTATTCAGGTCTTTACACATGCACATATAATGAATTTCCATGGGATTGTCCTACCTGCCTTTGTCCCCATTAGCATTTCCTTTGTTTTAAATTGAGTTACTCAAGTTTGTCTCATTGATAATTTTTGATGTATGGTTTACTGAACTGAACGTTTGCTTTCTGTTTAGCTGACCTGTTTAGAATTTGTATAAAAATATGTGTAATGCACTTATATCTGATTTTAAGTGTGTACTTGCTTCCATGATTATAAAATAGGATTAATAATAGGTAGATAGTGGATGATTAAATGTTTTTCTTTTTTTTTTTGAGAAAATTGTTGCATATAATCAGGGAAAAACTTATTTGTAAATGTGCCTTGTTGTGCCTGTTCATGTGTTTGTGTGTTTGAAACACTGTACAGTAAATGCTTGATTGGATTGGAAGGATTTTCACTTTATTAAAAATAAAAACATCCATTAAAGTGCACGTTTCCATGAATGCATTGGAAGATACAGTATTTCACATCACTCACAACTAACTTCTATCGTTTTTATCTTACAAGTGACAGGAGAGGGGTGTTCACTTGAAGCAAGACGCCTGCCACTTAGCTGTATGCTGCCTTCAAGGTTATCAAGTAATCTCCAACTTCTCGGCACTCCCACTTAGAAAACACCAATAACGCAGATGTAAATACTCCAGTCCTGAGGAAAGAAATTAAACAGCATGACATTTTTATGTGCTGTGTCATGGCATGTACAATTTTACCAGGTGTTTAGATGTCTGTCTGTCTGTGGACAAACTTTGTCAACAAGATAACGTCACAACCGTGCAAGATGCAGTCATGAAACTTTACAGGTGTTGATTTCAAAATGAAGGCCGAGTTCAAAGATGGGTTTGGTCCAAGCAAAGGGGCTGGAAGTAGGGTGATAGGAAGGTGGGTGTATTTCTGGGTAGATGGGTATGTTACAGAGGATGAAGTGGGTATACTCTCCCATATGTTCCACTGTTTTTTTGGTGTACTGTAAATGGCCAAACAAGAAGTGGGTATACCCTGTACACCTGCATATACCCACCTGCTACTACTATTACCATATGATATGTGCTTAAGTAAAGATTAAGAATTACAAAACAGACTGGGAAGCTTCAATCATACAAATGCTTTGCAGAAACACATGAAAGTGTGTCATATGCAGAGCTAAAGTGTGAATAAATTAGACTTTATTAAGAATGAAATTGTGAAATGCAATACCATTTAAAGCCCTGCTCATTATTATGAAAGTTATATAATTTTGCTTACTTTCAAACTACTTTGACAAGTTAGCTTTATTTCATTTGAGTGGTTTCTTATTATTTGAATTCAAAAAGCTACTTTCATCTAAAAGTCTTTCACTGTCATTTAAGACAAACAGGTTAGAACGTACAGGTGGTTACTGCTTTGATCTGAATGAGCAAACAGCAGAATTTACTTATTTACAAAAATTAGAATTTGGTGAAAATAGATCAAAATATGATCAATTAGATGAGTGCTTTGTATCATTTACCAATGTATGGTCATATTTTATATTATACATTTGTTCATTATGTCTTTTTATTTATTTGAAAACTTTGGTTCTCACATACGCAGTCAACTTTCAGGTCTGTGCCTGATCCTGTGCGATGATGGCAATATTTCCGACAGCAAGGGAACGCAGCACAGTTTAACAAGGCCGAGTGCCTGAAAGTCATTTGTTTTCCCCTGAATCGGCCTGACTGGATTGGACGGCCGGGGGTTCCGCCCACAAACACACAAGGTGGAGTTGAAAAGAAACAACATGCTGGGCCAAAATGAAGCTGTCAAACAGCCTCTTAGTATTTGCTAAAAGAGGAATCGAGCAATGTGAAAATGCATGGAGGCTGCTTTGAAGACCTTTAGGACACTTCTGTCTGAAGTGGAAATCTGACATTGATGAGAGAAAATTAGTGGGTAAACTTTTAAAAATAAATGTTAATAATATTAAGTTAAATGTAAGATGAGCTGGTTGCACTTTAATAAGACAACCATTAGCGCAACTTTAATGCAACTGATCAAACATTCGTGGTGCAAACTTCGGCTGCAGATCAGACATGACCGGCCTACGGGAGTAAAAAATAATCGCCCTTGGTTGGGTTCAGAAACAACGGTGCGAGGTCGGAAAAAATGGATGTCTCCGCGTAGCGAAATGGTTGGATGGAGAGAGAGGAGCTGCTGCGCGTTGAGTGGAGGGAGACGGCGAGTGAGATGGAGGCGGGGGGGAAGGACCATCTCTGCGGGGACTGGAGCCCAGGACCGACGGCGCAGTGCTGGCTATCGTTCAACCCTCCCCTTCTTCCTCCACAACGACACCGAGGCTCGAGCCGAGAGACAGGTAAGCCAACAAAACAGCCGCTCGGTTTCATAATACGGTGAGAGTGCGCGAGAAACAAGCCGGAATGAGCGTTAAAAAACCCGCAAACCCAACATTTAAGGTTTTGTTTTCCTACAAAGCGGCTCGGTCGGTGGAGTCTTTGTAGTAGCGAGGTAAACCAACGGCTGAGGCTGGGTACAGACGAGGTCGGCCATAGCCGAATTTCTTGTCCTCTACAGCGGGGAAGAAACTGGATATAAGACCCGGAGGTAACTGGTGTTTACTCAAAATTACACCGAGCGACTTGTGTATGCTAATTCCCGTCATCGAAACTCGTCTGTTTGGGCTGTAACCGGGTTATTTGCGTGGGGGAAATCGACGGTGGTTTCCGCGCCGAGACCTCCATGCGGCTGTTGGCGGAACAGCCAGCCGCCTCTCTCGGTTAGCCATCAGGGATCTCGGTTTAATATCTCACCGTGCAGAGACTCGCCCTCTCTCACCCCCTCTCTCTCTCACCGACTAGCCCAGCACCACCGACGACCGACCGAGCTCGGTGAACCCGCCTTCTTGTCCTCGCTTATGCGCTTTTTGGATCGAGGGAAGGGAGTCTGCAACGCCCTGGCTTTAGGTTTAAGCTCCGTATTTCTGTGTTTGCAGTGCGCCATTGGACCTTGTCACGGTAGGTTTCCTTGTAGAGCAGAGCTGAAGCATGGCGGACCTGGAGCTGTTTGTCGCGCCAGAGAAGCCACTCAGCCTCGGATGTTAACATGTTTCCTTTGAGCTGTAAGATAAAAATGTCGGTACTGTTAAACCGCGTGAGAATGTAGCCGAAACCGGTAACAGTTATCCTAATATTAAACTAAATCGGAAACTAAGCTAAAGGATGAAACGTTTGACCAATTTTTATCATTTTCTTCTTTCTTCCTGCGCCTCCGCAAGTCTCTCCAACCCACCACCATCAGATTCATCTCCGACATTATGATAATTTGTTACAATGTGTGGTTTTTTTCGCGGTTGAGTCTGTCATAAATGTAACATTGTAAAATGGTGGCTATAATTATAACAGTTAACGGTTTTTAATCAATTGTTGTAAACAGAAACGTAAAGCCAGGTCTGCCTCCAGGAAACAGGGTATTCTAATTAAATGCATTCAAGCTTAACGTTTTAAATTAAATGCTAGCATTTTTAAAAAGATATGGCTGTCAAATTAGTAAAGAAAAGTCTAATTTAAGCTTCATTTGGTGTACCAAGTTGCCCTTGGCCATAATGCCTCAGCTTCCAGTTTTTTCCTCATCCACACATGTTGTATTTTACATTAAATTTGAGTAATATTAAATGCTCTAGCGACTCCGGGTTCGCGTTTTGGCAGCTCTTTAGTTACATAAATGTAGGTATCGATGGTTTGAGTGTAGCTAGGTCACACGGTGGACACCACAGTGAGCTGGGGCCATCAAGGACACGATGAACAACGAGCAGCCGCCATCATTGGAGCACAGCTCGGCTACGCCTCGCTGAAGAATGCACTGGGTTTTGCTGTAAAGTCCCAGTATTCAACACAGGAAACCGGATAAAACTGGCTGTTGTCACACTTTAAACACTTTTAATAACTGTAAGGAAACATGTCGATTTCGGTGCTCCAGTGCGAGTACATGTGAAGAGAAGACTATAGGGTCGTTATGGCGGAGCTAGATCCGCATCCATCGGTGATGAGGCGCCTCCACCGAGTGGCGCATTTGGCTGCAGTGCTTCCAAGCCACCATTCCCCCATGTCGGAGACCGAAAGCAGATCCCCCGTCCGTGGTCAGCTGGTCGCCTACAGCTGCCTGTCTGTCCACGTCCATTCGCTTCCTCCTTCCGTGGATCCTCCCCAACCTCCGCTCCGACACAAAATCCTCCATTACCGAGCGGACCGGGCGAGAAAATGGTCGCGCCTGTGTGTTCACGATACTTTTGTTGTGGATTAAAGGACAGTACTAATGCGTTAAATTCCGGCTGGCGAAATTTGCTCGACGGAGACTGCTGTTGTCGTAGCTAGTTGTGCTAGTTGGAGCCCTCCGCAGTGTTATTTGAGATTTGAAGCCGTCACAAGCAATAGCCTATGTCTCACCATGTAGCGTAAACGTTTAAGGGGCGGTGTAATGAACATAAACCATTATGTCGAGGCAAATTTAAATTCCACCACATGGAAACCTCTCAGATTTACTCTTATATCACCAACATATCACCATTTTTAACATTTATGAATAATATACATATGAAATTAACATTAACATAAAAACATTTTTGGTTTTAGGTGCATTTTCTGAACCTAGTTGTTACGATTTGCAGTGCTTTTTAATGATTAATGTTATGGTTATAGATAGGCTATGTGATTTTTTTTTTTTTTTTTGCTTTTTTGCTTTTGTAGATACAAAACAGCACACCCTCAAATGAATGGAGAAATGGAGGCAACTACCCAAGACAAAGGTGGGATTTTAACAAGTATGGAAACCATTTATTGATCATCCTTAACACCTTCACAATAATACATCTGCTTTGTACAACTTAGTATATTACGCCTGTCATATATATTTTATTAATGCTCTTCATAGGTCATTGCAGAAAATATAATAGTGACACCCTTTGAAACTATAACATACCAGAATATGAGTATTGCATACGTAACAGTCACTGTATGGACATAATAGGGATGTCTTTTCTCATGAGAATGATAATTGGACATCATTTTAGACACACAAAATCGTATTATAGTTAGTTTTGTGATTTAGTAGACAGATTAGCATGTCTTTAACTTTTGCTTCCTTTTGGTTGTCATCACAGTGTGGGCACAGGAGGACCTCTTAAAACTGCTGGAGGCAATGAAAGTGGCCCTGCCACAAAAGGACCTCACTAAATATAAAACATCAGAGTCCCACCTGGACTGGCAGAAGGTGGCTTTCAATTCCTTCACAGCAGAGATGTGTAAGCAGAAGTGGCAGGAGGTTTCAAAAGAGGTGAGCCACTTTAAGATTGTATAGTGTGTTAGAGTAACGTAGTATTTGTATTGTTGTTCGAAAGTTAGATTTGTAATACCTTTTTTGTCTGCCTGAACCACAGATTCGTAAATTTCGGACTCTAACAGAGCTGATATTTGATGCCCAAGACTACATCAAGAACCCTTACAAGGGCAAAAAAATAAAGGTGAGTTAAAACACACAGTTTCATCGACTAATGAATAATTAGCAGTTATGAATAAAATTCACACTTTTATTTATTTTTCTTCATCATATACAGAAACACCCAGATTTCCCCAAGAAGCCTTTGACTCCATACTTTCGCTTCTTCATGGAAAAGAGGGCCAAATACGCAAAGTTGCACCCTGAGATGAGCAACTTAGACCTAACGAAAATCCTCTCCAAGAAATACAGGGAGCTTCCTGACAAAAAGAAGGTCAGTCAAAAGCACCTGAGCCACAGCTAAAATAAATTTGATAAGTGTTCTCAACTCACTCATTTCTAACAGAAATCTTTTCATGGCTACAGAAAAAGTATGTTGACGACTTCCTAAGAGACAAAGAAGCATTTGTACACAGCATGATGAGGTTCAGGTGAGGTTACCTATTACTATTATTTATGAACAGTGGGGATATTAGTCATGCACCTGCAGCATATTGAAAATGGTAATTGTGCTTAACTGTTGTGTAAATGCAGAGAACAACACCCAGATCTTATGGAGAGCATGACCAAGAAAGGTTCAAATGCACCAGAGAAGCCCAAGACGCCCCAGCAGCTGTGGTATAACCATGAAAAGAAGGCCTTTCTCAAGACACACCCTGACGTATGTTTTGGCATTTACAACACAAACATGCAAAATGCACAATTGTACGATTTGAAAGATGTTAACTCTCCCTGTTTGACACCAGGCGACCACCAAAGACATTAAGGACAGTCTTGGCAAACAGTGGACACAGCTGTCTGACAAGAAGAGACTCAAATGGATCGCCAAGTCCCTTGAGCAGCAGAAACTGTACGAGGTAAGACTACAGCACCGCGTGGTGTGTTTTTGAAATGCAAGGGCTGTTGTGGTATTAAGAGCAATGATGACATCCAGTCCATCTTGCTTTAGTTTGACACTGTGTTTGCAATATTCCAGGGGACGATGAGGGAGTACATCCAGCAGCACCCAGAGCTGAACATGACCAATGAGGATATCGTCAAGTCCACTCTGACCAAGGCCGAGAGGCACCTCAAAGACAAATCTGATGGCCGCCCCGACAAACCACCTCCGTGAGTCAACGCTGCTGACACATCTGTACAATGCTGGTTGTAGGCCGCGGCCCTGCGAGTGAGTTATTTAAATATAATGTGTTTGTGCTTTCAGAAATGGTTACTCAATGTTCTGTGCGGAGCTGATGTCGAGCATGAAGGATGTACCCAGCACAGAGCGTATGGTGATGTGTAGCCAGCGGTGGAAGCTGCTGAAACAGAATGAGAAGGACGCCTACCAGAAACGCTGTGAACAGGTGAGTCCAGAATCATCAAGTGTGATAATTAAAAACACGAGTACTTTAGTTTTTTTTTTCTAAAAGTCTTATAATTGCTCTTTTTCAGAGGAAGAAGGAGTATGAAATTGAAATGAACCGATTTCTCAGTGTAAGTTATATTTTGGTTTCTACTTCAGCACTTTTTTGTTGCAGCCATCAGTGTTCTCATATAAGTGTGAATTTCCCACATGTATATTCTGTTCTGTATGGATCTGTAGAGTTTGTCAGAGGAGGAGCAGACTCGGGTTTTGTCTGAGGAGAAGATAGGTTTTAAAAAGGGTGGAGCCAGTAGTCCTGCCGCCAAAAAGAAGGCCTCAAAAGCAAAGGTAAGATCAAATATACACTCTTCAAACTGCTTTTTCCAGTGCTGGGTGTCATTTTTGGTTACCACTTTGATCACAACAACATAATTTCATCCAAGTAAGAAACTAGAGCACCCTTTTCTGATGTTCACTTTCTCCGTAACCTGTAGGCCAATCCAGAGAAACCCAAAAGACCAATTTCAGCCATGTTCATCTTCTCCGAGGAGAAGCGCCAGAAACTGCAACAGGAGCGGCCGGACCTTTCTGACAGTGAGCTCACGAGGCTCCTGGCTCGCATGTGGAATGAGCTGCCAGACAAGAAGAAGGTAATGTAATAGAGCAGATCACAGGTGGCAAATCATACTGATATGTACAATTTGTAATCTAATTTTCAAAATGTCATGTAATGATCTCCTTGTCTTGATCATTTAGGAGAAGTATAAACGTCTAGAAACAGTCCTGAAGGCAGAGTCAGAGAAGAAGGAGAAGGAGGATCGCAGTCGTCTGCCGGACCCACCTAAGACTGCCCAGGACATCTGGCAGCAGAGCGTCATAGGAGACTACCTGGCCAGATTTAAGGTACACATGACATGTGCTCTCAAGAATACAAACTGGTAGCCTTGTTTTAGCCCGTTACACTATAAACACTGGTTTAACAGGTGATACAAAGAGTACATGTCCTAAAAAGGCAGAAATCCATGCTCAGTGTGTATTTTGTGCAGATCAGTAAAGTTGTAGAAAACACGTAAAACTCTCACTGCAAGTGCATTTAATGTGAGCCTGTGCTTTGCAGAGTGACCGGCCCAAGGCACAGAAAGCAATGGAAGCCACCTGGAGCACCATGGAGAAGAAAGAGAAAATAATGTGGATCAAAAAGGCAGCAGAGGACCAGAAACGATATGAGGTTAGTGTCAGTTCAGTGACAACGTCCAGCAGAACTCCACGGTGTGTTCACACTACCAGTGAGAGCTAACAGTCGACTTCTCCTTTACAGAGAGACCTGTGCGAGATGCGCTCACCCGCTGCCGCCATTGCCTCAGGGAAGAAGATGAAGTTTGAGGGTGAACCCAAGAAACCACCATCGTAAGTCTGTCACATCTCCCCTACCTGTCTGTGCTGCCTGTTGTGTGTTGTACTGAAACCTCTAAGTTGTGATTTTTCACTTGCTTTTGACTCTCTAGAAACGGATATCAGAAGTTCTCTCAGGAGATGCTGTCCAACGGAGAGCTGAATCACCTCCCGATGAAGGAGCGGATGACTGAGATCGGCAGCCGTTGGCAGAGGTTACCACTGAAGGAGAAAGACCGCTACAAGAAGATCGCGGAGGAGAAGCAGAGACAGTATAAAGTCCAACTGGAGCAGTGGCTCGCTGTAAGAAGTGGTTGATTGGGGAAAGGGGACATTCTGTCAAGACTTGTTGGACCCCCGACTTATCTAACATACACTTTCGTTCTTCCACAGAGCTTGTCCTCGCAAGAGAGAAACACTTACAAAGAATATAACTCACAAGTAAGTCAGTTATTTCAGTCACAAGCTGGATAAGAAACTGCACCGTGTTTCTAAAACTGTACTTTATCTGTTTGATGTTATCAGAAAAGAAGAACTACAGCAAAACCAGGAGGCCCCAAGGCGAAGGCCAAGAAATCTGTAAGCGTAGACTCTCTCATTCTTCTTCTTGTCTGATGTATCAGCCGTAGTGATGTCATGTAGTGATGTGTGTCAGCCATGCCTGAAAATCTCTCTCCCACAGGACACAGAGGAAGAGGAGGACGAGGACGAGGACGAGGATGAAGATGATGACGAACGGGGGAAGGCTTCCTCTGAGGCAGACTCGTCCAGCGAGGATGAGGAGGATGACGATGATGACGTGAGTTGCATCTGTCTTTGCCAGTACGCAGGGGTAATGACAGGAAGTGGAAGCTGATTGTGCTAAATATTGTTTTTTAATTGTTTGTTTAAAGAAGGAGGATGATGACGATGATGACGATGATGAAGACGACGACGATGACGATGACGATGAGGCGGAAGACAAGGAGAACAAGTCGGAGGACAGCAGCAGCGATTCAAATTCACAGGGGTCGTCGGACTCGGATTCGGACTGAAATGGGTCGACGTCTCCGTGAGATGAACTGAGCAGCGCTGAGCTGAGCCAAGAGTCAAGGGAGCTCTGCCACTGTGCCAACCCTGCTCTCCTCCCACCACCAGAGGGAGCCCCTGCATCACCTCATCCACTTGACACTCACCCACTTTTATGTTGCTGCGTTGGTGGTCTACTCATGGAGGCACCCTGCCCGTATGTCCAAAATCAGTTCCATTCCCTCCCAGGTGTGACGGTCATCTCACAGCACAGGCCGCTGATGTTATGCCAAAAACAGCATCCCACTGGTTTGGTGATGTCATGAACATTTCTGATGTGGTTTCAATCTTGACGTACAGGTTCAGTGGTTTAAAGGTTAGAGTTTTAATGTCGAGGGTATTCAATTACCCTTCAATGTTTCTGTTGTCATTCTGGTAATTAGTTAAAGGTGGCATGAGTTGTGAACAGGCTTCATAGAGCCAAAGAACATAGTATGGCGGATCACTTTAGGGAGCGAGGGGGGGGAGGGGGGTGTGCAGGGTACTGAAAATTGCACTCTTCAGAATGTTTCCTTTAATTTTTTTTCTTCCCAGTTCATTGTTGCATTTGTTCTCTATTCTCAATTTATGATGTAGATTTTTATCATTTTGGTTCTTAAAGAGGTGGTATTTTTTCAGGAAAAAAATCAAGCCATTATGAATGTCTTTGTTGCTGGAAAATTTCAGTACTTGTTACTAACCCATGTTCTCATTGATAAAGGTAACAGTGCCTGTATTAAGTGTTCACCCCCTCTTGGACTTCATGTTTTTTTGTTTTACAGCAAGTGGATGATTTGTTACTCAGTGGTGTAAAATGACTCCTTATTCGGCAATATTTAAGGAGAATTCACACACAGGATTTTCCAGTAATGTTACAAGAAAAACAAATCTCTGCAGATGTATCTAAATTACGTGCAAGTCTAAAAAAAATTGATTACGTAAGTATTCACCTCTAAATGGTTAGTAGACTCATCTTTGGCAGCAGTTACACCCTGGAGTCTGTGGATCAGTCTTTGCACATGTGGACGCTGCATTTTCATCTCATTTCTTTTTGCAAAACTGGCCCTATTCTTTACATTATACACATATCTTTACATTACATTCTTTACATTTTTATTTTTACTTATTGTCCAACTGCTATTCTTAAGTGACCTCCATTTAACCTGTCAAAACTTTTGTAATCACTTAATTTATGTTTTAAAGGGACTTAATTTAGATCAGTTTGTGAAGGTTTGTTGTGTTGATGAGGGTCAGAAAAGCCTACTTGCATCCACTCTGCCTCAGAGATGTAAAAGATATAAGATCCAGTGGTGGTGAATACTTTGTATAGACGCTGTTGTATCCATCGCCATGTGTCTGTCATTCAAATATGTCATGTATCAAACTTAACTGACGTGTTGTTCTCATTAATCCATCAGTCTGGAACAATTCTGTTTGACTCGGTTAATTCTGGCCCGACAGTAACACACAGTGTTTACTGTGACCGGAGCAGTTTGTCGTTGGAGGGAGAACACTTGTTGTCCTCATGTAGAGCTCAGTCTGACTGTGTTTTTAAAGAATGCGTCACACAGTCGGTGTATGTGTCTCCTCCTGAACTGTCGTTTTACGTTTACGGTTTATTTGAGTCGTTAAAAATGTTTGTTTTTATTGTTGTGTTCTGATCCATCTGGAATCATTTTGTGGCTGTCGAACTGAAGGGTTTTCATAAAAAAAAGAAAAATAGTTTTGAATTTTTATTGGTATTGACTGTAATCCATACGGGTTTCAGTCTAATGCTTAATCCCAAAAAAAAAAAAAGCGTGCACTTAATGTAAATCTGTCCCTCTGTGTGAGTTTGTGTGCATGCCTGCACAGAACTGTGTATATATGAGGGTGTGAGTGTGTGTGTTTCTTTGCTTTAATGTGTGCTGTTTTTACTGTTTCTGTTGCATACCATGATGTGACTGCAGCGTGCATGTTTGTGCCTGTGTGGGGACGTCATACCAACACCATGAATGTAGATATTGTTAAATCTTTTAATTTTTTTTTTTTTTTTCCTCCAAAGGTCTTCAGTAATTTTTCTGCTCGGCGCTGTCGTGTCATTGGTTACCTGAAAACAGACTAATGACTGTCGTTTTGGGTCCACAGACAGATGAGTACATGGCAACTTAATAATCTGTTAGTAATGGACTGATTTTGACCATTATGAATCTCATCACTGTCTGAAACAAAAACCAGCGTGGACTATTTAAATAATTCGGGGAGGGGAAAAGGAAAAGCAATTGCTGATGTTGATCAACAGGAGTTTGTAAAAGGGATTTGGGGAACTGAGTTGCCAGGGGAACTGGGGTTAAAAAAAAACTGTTGTAATTTTCCCTGTAAATACTGTTTTTGTATCGAGTGCTTATCGTTTTTTGTTAGTGCTTTAATTTGGCAAACCCTCATCTGTGATTTCTGAGGCCAGTGAGTTTTTCACTCACGCAGGGAGAGTTTTTGGTTTCATTCACCTGTTTTAGTTGTATCTTCTCTCCCTTCTGTTGGTTTATAGAGATATCTAAGACAGCAAAGCTTTACAAGTTTGTACTGCTGATCATTTGACAAAATTTGATGTTTTCTATAGCTGAGGGTGTTCTTATGTCCTTGTAGTTCAAGTATTTGGGCAAATTAAAAAAAAAAAGATCTTTAACAGAAGTCTGCGTGTTCTGTTTTAAGCTTACACAAGCAGGGCGGGGATCACTGCAGTGTCCAAAAGTATGTGGACACACCTGGGGCTATTTTTCATGGTTTGTCTAGACCTCTTTGTTTTCACTGAAAGGAAATCATAATGCCACATCATACAATGATGTTTTGGACAGTAATGTGCTTTGGAGCTGAAACAATTAGTAACTCATTTTATTATCTATTTAAGTCATTTATCAAGCAAAAATTAACAAAATTTGCCACTTCTTGCTTTTAAAATGTTAAATATTCTGACTTCTCTATGTTAAATGATTAAAAATGAATGGCTTTTGGTCCTGGCCTTTCAGTAAACAACTATTTGAATTGGTCAACTTGCACTAGGGGAAATGGTGATGCCATTTTCCACTATTTTCTAATATGTTATAGACCAAATATTTCACATATAATTGACTATATAATCAATAAATTAGTCTATAATCATTAGCCACTGTCCTAGTGTTACTCCAACTTATAGTCAACCGTTCAAATGGCCACATTAACCTGGCCAAAAAGAGGTTGCGGGGCCCCGTTACCCTCCCCTAACTCAAAATCTCTGTGTTACGTTTGTCTTTGCTGGAATACTATTGACAGTTTAATTAAGCATTATTCTCAAAGTTTTTTGGGTTGTGTCCCCTTAGAACAAAGTATTGCCTATATGTGACCCCTTGTCACGAGTGCAGTGGTGTCCTGTAGTTAGGATGGGCCCCAGTGCATGCTATTAAGATGGACCCTAATGCCAGATTTTACATCATAACAGCTATGGTATTTTATAGTATCAATCAATCATCACTGCAAAAACACCAAACAAAATCAGAAATTATTCATTAAATGGATTTTTAAGACACAATGTAGTGTAGGCTGGGAAACACAAGCTGAAGGAATAACAACATAAAGGCATTAAACTAGTTTCATGGGTGTCCACATACTTTTGGCCGGATAGTGCGTATTGTTGTTAGAGATGACCTCATTCAACCACTCAGGCTCAACTATATGATCCCAGATAACATGAGAGCATCTAATGTTCCTTTATTAATGTCTTAAGTGGGTGGTGAAACCTGCGATCTGCGTCAAGTCTGTCAGTGACACCGGAAACACGCTGCTTGTACCTTCAAAATAAAATCATCAACAGGGCTGAGCTGCGTCATTTTATTGGCTGGTCTACGAACATTTTGGCTAAGTGCAAACAAAATAAGAAATTATATTTCACCACTGATAATGACCAGAGGTAGAAAATACAGTTACTTAGGTACTGCACTTAACTACAATTTTGAGGAAGCCTACTTCTAGACTATTTTAATTGGGTGTTTACTTACTTTACACATCTACTCCACTACATTTCAGAAAGAAATACTGTACTTTTCAGTCCACTAAATTTATCTGACAATTTATTTTTCACATTAACAAACAAAACATATGATCAAGGGCGGCACGGTGGTGTGGTGGTTAGCACTGTCGCCTCACAGCAAGAGGGTTGACAGTTCGATCCCGGGCGTGGGAGCCCTTCTGTGCGGAGTTTGCATGTTCTCCCCGTGTCAGCGTGGGTTCTCTCCGGGCACTCCGGCTTCCTCCCACAGTCCAAAGACATGCAGATTGGGGACTAGGTTAATTGATAACTCTAAATTGGCCATAGGTGTGAATGTGAGCGTGAATGGTTGTCTGTCTCTATGTGTCAGCCCTGCGATAGTCTGGCAACCTGTCCAGGGTGTACCCGGCCTCTCGCCCGATGTCAGCTGGGATAGGCTCCAGCCCCCCCGCGACCCTCAAGAGGATGAAGCGGTTAGAAGATGAATGAACATATGATCAACTTATACAATATGATAGTTATTATTATTACAGTAATGGCAGTGGCAATGACATTCGGTGTGTAGCCTGATTGCTCTCAGTTTTTCTTTTTTTTCCACTGCAATTAGAAACATAATGTCACTACATCATATCTGAGTAACACACCTCAGTGATGGCTACTACACCTGAACCACAGCCTCACACCTACACTAACAATGAAGTGGACTATTACGCCAAACAAGTAGGCTACGTTTTCCTTTTCTTCTTTTCTCCTTATGTACATATCCGCCTGAGACCCTGTGTCCTCATATGAGGACATCACATTTTGGATTTACTTGACCTTATACTTTATTCTACTTAACTTAGACCTGTTGTCCTCGTTTTTGGACACTTTCATGTGCCATCTAGTGGTAGGGAGAGCACAGTACACTAATCCAAGATGGTGGCCATGTCCAACAAGTCAGTCTGGCAACAAATCTGACCAATTTAAGCAACAGTAATGCTAAGACACTGTTAATTAGGAAGTACCCATTTGGAGACATTGGGACTTTATTATTGTCTCTTTTGAGGACATTGAGACTCAATCATTTTCAGTCATTCACGATGTTTAGTTTTTTTATTCTTATCGGGTACTACTGATCCCAAATAGCTAGGAGAATTTAAAAATGCATATTAAACAAAAGTTTATGTTTCAGGAGAATAGTATCTGCTGATAGTTTTCACTGAGGTCGAATCTTGAATGTGAGACTTGTCCTTGTAACAGAGTTTTTTGTTTTTTACATCATGTCACTGCTACTTTTATTTAAGTTAATAAAACTGGTTTGCATTAGGTGCATTGGCCTGTCATTATTTGACAGCTCAGGAATCAATGCTTTTATTTTCGAGGTGTAAACCGGAAATGGTTTGTTCTGTTTTGGAGATTGGTCCTTCCCTATCGGCCTCCTCAGTGTCAGGCGGGTTTGTAACGTTAATTTAACTGACACCGGCGACAACAAACATTTTAACCCAGGATTTTTTCCTTTACCTGTGATAAAATGACGGATGTTATTCCAGACGAAGCTTCTTATTAACGTATGTCAATGTGGACTGACACGGTAATGTTGCCTCCCTCGGAGAAACTGCCTGTTCTCACGGAGTTTTCGGCATGTCAGGGTAAGAGGAAACATTTTTTTCCGGTGCAATTAGAAACATAACGTCGCCACATTGTATCCGAGTATCGACACGCCATAAAGCCTTCTGTAGCTCAAGTTTAAAGTATAGCAGAGCTAGCTAGCAAATGCTAACAGTAAAAAGTAATGTTAGTTAACGTTAAACAGCTGAGTTTCTTAACTGTCATTACCTGCGTGTATACTACTGTCTTTGTGTCCTGCTGTCAGGCTGTTCACATGGCTGTTATATGTTTAAATGTAGATATTCATGAAGTGTTTATAATGTAAATAAAGAGGCGTCTCTCCTCAGGTAACCACATGTGACGTACTATGACGTAACGTTAGCGTTGGGTCCTGTTTTACTGTATTAATCTTTATTAAAGAATATATACTTATTACTCTATATAACTTGATGTATCTGGCATCCAATACGGTGTAATTGTACTTTGTCTTAATTTTAATTGAAGAAAATTATGGTTATTGCCCAACATCTGTATAGCTAGCATACCATACTGTACTATACATTACTATACCATAGGCCTACTATACAGCAAAATAATATTCTTTGGTTATATTGTTGTATTGTACTGTATATTATGTTATACTATATTTAACTGTACTTTATATCTTATATCCCATACTGTATTATACTATATTATGTTAGTATGTAATACTGTTCCATTACATTATCTACTGTCTTATATTTTTAGTTTAAATCTATATTAATGTAGACAAACATGAAGTATCCATACTTAATCATATCATATATAAGTTTGGTGTACATACATTAAACGTTTTGACTCTGCTGCTGTTATTCACATCACCTGTAATGTGTAGCTGTCACTTTACTACTGTAATTTTATTTTAACTTGCTCTTAGTTTCTGTTTTTACTTTCCTCTCTCTATTTATCTGTACTTATATCTGTCATGTTTGCTATCCATTAATGTATACATTTTCTTCTCTTCAACAGGGTGAAGACACATCTGCCACAAGTTTCATTGTCTGTTTTAAAAGTAAGTATTTTAAGTGAGTTTTATTGACCTTCGATGGCAGATCGGATTTCTGTCTCTTATCTGTTGACCGTGCTGATTGTCTCATGATTGTGAGTTTGTTTTTTATATTCTAAATCCTCAGGTCAGCATTTCGTTACCTTGCAGTCAAGATTTCCCACACAGATTTTCAAATGAAAATGGAGGATATGCCCCTGTCAGGCCCAGACAACACCAGGCTGGAGGTGAGGGAATATATATCATTTGTAATTGTTCCTGTAAGTGTCACCCACAAATCGATGTTGTGTATTTTATCTGTTGTACATGGCATCCAAATTGAATTTGGTTTTAAATTATTATTATCATTATTATTATTATTTTAGGCCTTGGCCCATGACATCTACTCTGAGCTGGTGGAAGATGCCTGTTTGGGCCTGTGTTTTGAAGTCCATCGTGCTGTGAAACAGGGCTACTTCTTCTTGGATGAAACAGACCAAGAGAGCATGAAGGAGTTCGGTTGGTGCCGTGGCTTCCAGTTTGTGTGTTCCATTTTTTCTCATATTTGCATTTGATGTGTTTCCTTACAGTATTTGCCTTTAATTACTCTTTCAGAAATCATAGACCAGCCAGGAGTGGACATATTTGGCCAAGTGTACAATCAGTGGAAAAACAAAGAGTGTGAGTGCCCAAACTGCAAAAGACTGATAGCAGCTTCTCGCTTTGCCCCGCACTTGGAGAAGTGTCTCGGCATGGGACGCAACAGCAGTCGCATTGCCAATCGCAGGTCAGTAAGCAAAGGACTGATTTGTGTACTTATCCAAAATGGGTATGATCGGATTGTTTGATTGTTTTGTTGTTGTTTTTTTATATATTTTAACAGGCTAGCCAGCAATAACAACATGAGCAAATCAGAGAGTGATCAGGAAGACAATGATGACCTCAATGATAACGACTGGTCCTACGGGGCAGAAAAGAAAGGTGAGTTTAACTTTTATTTCCAATGTGTAGGGAGAATAATAAAGTAAAACTCCAGGTTGCCTCCACATAATAAACAAACATCTTATTTCCATTTTACAGCCAAGAAGAGAAAGTCAGATAAGGTATTTTTGTATTTCTTTTCCCCTTTTTCATTCAGCATAAGAGTACATTTTATGTGTGTTTCATGTGTATAATAAGGTTAATCTAATCTGAGTGGTTTTCTTTGTGCAGAGTCAAAATTCTCCAAGAAGATCCAAATCTTTAAAACACAAAAATGGTAAGTTTATCAGATATTTAGTGTGTTGGTTAAGTTTTGATCCATGCAACCTCTGAATGTGGTGTCAATGTTTGTCATGATTCTGGACTAGACCAGTCTTAGTATCATCTTACAGATCAGTACGTCCTGTGCTTTCTGTTTCCTCAGTCACAGGAAGTAGAGATTATGAAAGCAAAAGGTGCCCCTTTTAGATGTACTGATCCAGGGCCAAAATGTCAGCACAAAACAATGTTGGGTGAATACATAAAGACTATAAGTTAGCAGTGGAGACTACAAGCGTTCTGCAAATTTGCAGCCAACATTTGGGATTGTTGGAAGAAACTTGTAACACAAAGACTTTGATAATAGTGTGCAATTATATATTAAACAATTTATTTGATAATTCTGTTGTGAAAATTCATGTGCTGTTGATGAAAAGGAATATTTTGACATTACAAAACCGAAAAGTAAAAAGCTTTACAGGGACTTTATGGATCATTTAATGGGTTGTGACTATAAGTCCAATTCGAATGAGGCTTTAATAGTTTTAATGGTGCGTGTTGTATAAATAAAGAGCATCAATAGTTATGTTTTCTCTCCAGGTGAACTTGGGAGCAGCATCAGTTTAGAGCCTTACAAGGTGAAAAATCCTCCCTTTGTTCATGTTGCCTTTAAGACCTCAAAATCAGCTTTGTATTGTAGTGTACAGTGCAAAGTATTGACAGTGGTTCTTGGTCTGTCTTTTGTTTCAGTATAACTATAATACTGGCATCAGTTATGAAAGTTTAGGCCCGGATGAAGTCAGATCCCTTTTAACAACGGTGAGTAGCCATAGTAGCCATATTGATCTTTTTAATTGTTATTGTTTATGATAAACAATTGTTTTTACTGCTCTCCCGTTTTAATTAAACAGATGTTGATTGTTAATATTGTGTTTGTCTCTCCAGCAATGTGGGGTGATCTCTGAGCACACCAAGAAGATGTGTACCAGGTAACTGCTGTTAATCTACCGGCACATAGAGAAACTAGTGGAAAACAGTTAACTGCTTTTGTGGTGCTGATATCTGGGATAATGCAGGATAGTATCAGGTACTGTAACACCTGGCCTCATGTTGGTGTCCAGATGTTACTGTATCTAAATTTTGAGGTCCGTGTCTTTTAGTCCCTTCTGTGAAACTTTGCCATGAAAACTAAATGTCTTCATCCATGTGTATGTTGGGACAGGGGAACACAAGTGGCAGCTCATTGCATTTTACTGTTAAAACTTTTTTTTCTGGACCAGTGATTTGACTTGTTTTTCTCCACAAAAATTAAAATACCAAATATTGAGATGTTTTTAATTAGACCATGCAGGACCCTGTCAGTGACCAACCTCTAACTTTTCACAACCTTTAACACTTCATTACTGTTACGCCCCCTCTGATTGGTCACTGATAGTGTTCGCAGCAGTTCCATCCCACCTCCCTGGCTCCCTGTGGCTGTGTGTATGCAGGCAGGGTGATGCATGTAACTGTGTCAGGGATGTATAATGCCACCTTGTGTCCCACCAGGTCTCAGCGATGTCCCCAGCACACGGACGAACAGAGGAGGGCCGTCAGGGTCTTCCTACTGGGGCCGTCCGCGTGAGTGTCCTTACCCCCCTCAACCTCAAGTGCACTTAACAAAAGTCATGCTTGGATGAGTGTTTTGACCCTCATGGTGCAGGTGTTTGCTGATACAGCTCACTGTTTTCTGATGGAGACAGGAACAGCACAGTGCTGCTGGTCAGTGTTATGAACACTCTGGTACAGGGGTGCATTTTCTACAAAGGCAGAGTTGTGATTACGAACAGAAGCTGCAGCTGATGACCTTTTATTATCAAGGTCATACATCACCATTAGTCGTTTTCCGAACACATTTTGGGTTTCAGTGGAGGTTATCTCTTTAAACAGGTATCTGCATATGTATACAGCATCTTTAGGCAATGGTGCAAGATTCTGGTAATCAAAAGTGTTCTGGTTTCTGTTACCAATCACGTTGGAGCAGCAGGTAGACGGGAAGCAAAAGAGGTGGAAGGCATTTTCCTACTCATCAGCTATTGACAATTTAGCTTTTTACTAGCTTTTTTAAAACAAAATTTCATCTGCATTCATACAGATATATGTCAATAGATAATAGCCGAAATGATTGTCACACGGAAGAGGAGATCTTGTCCTGGATAGCTGCTGGCTGGACCGGAATCCCTGAAATATTTGCCTGTGCTCCCAGAGGCTTATTGTTCTCAGACCGATAGCTGATGGGTTCCAAGATTGCAGTGGAAGAGCACCCATGCCAATCAGCATGTGATTCTGTTAAAGCAATAAACGGCATGGGGCCATAATTTTACTAAATAGATCTGACAGTGTTTCATAAACACAGAGCAACAAAATGCAATAATTTCTTGATAACAAATGATCATTCTTCTGCCAAGCAGAGTTCTTCAGCTGCATTAAGCAGTATGGTCGCCAAGCAACACTCAGATGCAGTAGAAAGTTGTGGCTGCTTTACAAATTCATGGCAACACAAAGCCAAAGAAGTTCACCCCCATGGGTTCTAGTATGCTAAATGTTAGGAGAAAGAAATTCAAGGTTTCATCATGTTGCAGTTTGATTATAACCACATATGTTTCTACCATCTTGCTGAGTAACCATGCTACACTAAAAAAAAAGTGAGCATAATAGGATACAAATAAAAACATGCAAGGTACCTAAAGTCACATCCTTAACTTGCCATAGAGCGTTAGTGTATTTTGTCTGGTTTTGGATGGAGATAAAAGGCCGGTGGATTGGGGCGGCAGCAGCAACAGGTATTTCTTTAATGAAGCAAAAGGACACAGTGGCTGCTCAAACAGAAATCCCCAGCTCTCTAGGCTCTCTTTGTTTTTTCGCAGCATCTTCTTGGTGTTTTTGTGCCTTCATTTAATGACAGCATTATGTATTTCTGGCTGTTCTCGTTTCTGGCGTCAGTTTGAGGTTGCCCTCTTAAAGGGGAACTAATGTTTTTTTCAACCTGGGCCTAATTTTCTGATCTACTTTTGTCTAAATGAGTGATGGGATGTTCGATATTTGACATTTCTCCAGTACGAAGCTAGCGCGGACCTGCCTGCAGCCCGTGAGCGCGCGCTACATTAAATAATAGGGCACTCAGACAGCATCAAACAATGTCAAAATACGTCCACTAAAAGTGCATTTTTTTCACACAGATAGTAAATCTCACGTCTCACGAGATTTGTGTTGTTGCAGGAAGTTACCGCTGGAGTGACCTTACAAACGCCAGGAATTACGCCAGGGCCACACCGCCCGCGGAAGCGCTGCGAATAGCCTCGAAGTGAAGCCAGTTTCCTTTCGGCGCCCATGTTAACCGATTGTGTCATCCACACCAGCCGCGCCACGCAGCTCCGCCGCTGGCCCTGCAGCGATCATTTCGCCGTCTGGTCTATTTTCTGCGCGAGCCGCGAGCAAATGTGTCAAACCGGGCAGTTACCCATGATGGAAAAACAACAGCTGGGAGCAGAATCGCTTGTCGACCGGTGCTGAGAAATGCGCATCTGATGTGAACGGAGGTGCTCTGGCTCGCGCAAGAATTTCGGTGCGCTGCACTAAGCAGGCAGTGTGGCCCTGGCGTTACTCTGTTTGGAGTAGTCATGGCTGAATTTTTACCCGATTTTGACCAACTGGAGGGAGCCTATCTGTGTGGGGAAAAAAAAGCAATTTTAGTTCTACGTATTTTGACGTTGTTTGACGCTGTCTGAGTGCCCTATTATTTAATATAGTGCGTGCTCACGGGCTACAGGCAAGTCAGCCCTAGCTTCGTACTAGAGAAATGTCAAATATTGAACATTCTATCACTAATTTAGACCAAAGTAGATCGGAAAATAGGGCCCAGGTTGAAAAAAAAAAAAAACATTAGTTCCCCTTTAGGCCCACTGTGATAGTGGGTGACTAACTGGCACAGCAATACTGAAATTGTAATGCAGTCACAGCTGTGTGTTTATAAAGTATTTTACAACGGCCTCGAATGCGATTCAGCCAATGATAATCAAGAACTGGAGCCATTAATTTTACACTGTTGTCACTGTGTGGCCAGTCTGAGTTTTGTCCTTACCAGTCTAATCAGCCGTGTCTCTGTTTGGGTTTTTATGTAACAGGCCGTCGCTGCTCGATGCAGACGCTGTGGTTGAGAGCGACAATTTTGACATTCCAGATGGACAGACACTGATGAGCCGCCTGCAGTGGGAGGACTCACCTGATATTTCACCCACTGACTCTGCCTCATCCAAAGCCAGTAAGAGTACATTCTTACTGTATTATATTTATATCTGTACATAGATGTTAGATGTTTATGTCCTTTCTTCCAGCTTTGTTGTCCGTCTTCGTACACTAAGAGCAACAAAACACGGGAGTCACATTCCTTGTATGTGTGGACATACTTGACTGTTAGAGCTGATTGTGACTCTGTAAAGTTTTGATAAAACGTAAAGACAATTTTCTGTCCCTTTCACAGGCACCAACCATTCAGATTCCAGGAGGCCTAAGAAGAAGAAGAGGACGTCTCTCGGTTTGAACAGTGGAGGAGGAGGAAGTGGAGGAGGCAGTCTGACTGGAGGCAGCAGCAGCAGCAGCTCTCAGAGTAATATCAGCTTATCGACCAAAAAAAAGAGGCCTAAACTCTCAGCACTTTCTATTTCCAGTATCTATGATGACTTAAACTAGCGTGTGTCAGCCCTGTGTGTCAGTCCCTCTGTTCATACCTGCATTTACAGGCCTGGACAGTGTGGGACGAAACTTGACTTAGTAGTTCTTACTCATACAGCCTTGACAAGAAAGTGAATTATATTAACATTGCTCCTTCTGTAGTGTGAACACAGTGTTTAAAATGATGTGGTTCAGAGTCCAGTCAGAGTATCTGGGGGAACTCATTGGAAAAATTGCACCTCAAAGCAGACTTTACCTTCTGCTTATTCCAGTAATGTCCGACAGTTTGACTGACACAGAAAGCTACTGTCACCCTAAGATAGGAGGCAGTGTCTTGACAGCGTTGCGTCCTCATGAAGCCTCCAGCAGTGAATCAGATATTGTATCTATGTGCCGATGAAGTCACCTTAGTTGCCGTCATTGTGTCCAAGCAGGTATTTCAATTTACACTGTCGCATTATACATCCAAAGGCATGTGTGCACACGAACATTACACCCATCCGGTATGTGATTGTTGAATATGTCATTCCCATTTAGCCTTAGTGAGGTCGGCCACTGATGTTGGGTGATCAGGTCTGGCCCACAGTCAGTGTTCCAGTTTATCCCAGAGGTATTGGATTGTGTTTATGGTCTGGCACCTGGCCCCTACCTATTTTCAAAGCACTGTCCTCACTCAGTGCCATGCCTAGGCATGTCTCTAATATTACAAAATTAGAAACTATAGGCAGCAGGCAGTGTCTGTGCAGATAAATACACCGCCATAAGTGGGATTTATACTTGTGCGGTACACCCTACGCTGTAGCTACGCTGTTGTGGGCATCTATACTTGTGCGGTGGTGTGTTTGTGTCACTCTGCAGTTACACCTCCAAAACACTAGTCTGCAGCTGGGTTTCTGTGAATTGCTGTAAAGTTTAGTTGATTCAAAACACACATTAAACACACATTAAACATGGCTTAATAGAGACAATTTCAAACACAAATCAGCTTCACTATAACTCGCAACACTCACAGACAAAGCACTTGTCTTTATCTGAACACATTTTCCCCACAAATACAACATGCTAATGTTTTTAGCACAAGCCTGTGGAATTTTACATTGTATAAATTAGCCTAGTTGCTAGCAGACTTTTCCTCTACTCATATGAAGCCAAGACAACAGCAACATTTAACAAAGGTAACGTTACAAAATTCAGCTCCATTACAACTCACAAAACAACTGTATTATATTTAACACGTTTTCCAAACAAATATAAGATGCTAACGTTATTAGCACAAGCCTATGGCATTTAACATTATATAAATTAGCCTAGCGACGAGGCTCTAAGTTGCTGCAAAGCCTACGCCGTGAGTATGGCGTCAATTCAGTGCAGACATATAAATTCCACCATGCACTTTAAGTGGGTCACAAGTAATGATTGAGAGTGATTACTTTTGTATGAGTCTATACATTCTTTTAGGAAATCCTGCGCAGTTTATCTTTAAAAAGACACCACAAATGTCCATTTTCACAGCGGCCGTTATGACATGACATAGCATGGAACTTGTGGGTGTAATTAATATTATTAAAGGTGCTGCACTCCATTTAGCTGTCCTAATTTCAGGGCCTTGCTCAGTGGCAGGGTTTACTGATGCACTTCAATGCAACACAGCTATCATTAAGGAATTAATTGCACATGTGCTTTTCCTGCCATCACAGGACAAAATGTCTGCTCTAAAAAGGCTCATTACGAGTCTTTATTTGTTGATCCTTTTCTGAAAATGCATACTGCTTATTTATGAGCTTTTTGTTGCTTGTAGTCGACTGAGAACTCTTGAAATTGTCTCTCTGAAACCCTCAGGTACTCTGTCATTGTTGGCGGTCCTGCGACCTGTCCCTCTTTTTAGGCTCTGTGTTCATTTAACTCCATTTTGAGGAGACATGCTTTCAGTTCAGCACTTGACACGCGTTTACTGGAGTACTCATCGGTGGCTTTTTAATTCTAGCATTGTATTGCACAGTTGTGTGTGTGTGAGTGTGAGTGCCTTTGTATGCTGACTTGCTTCAGTGTGAACGTCACTTTTTCGCGTAGTGCGTGTGTGTGGGGTTAGAGGGAATGTGTGTGATCTATTTCTATTTTCATAAAACTATGCATCATAGAATGTGATTGTGAAAGTATGTGTACCATTTTGAAATATTTAACTTCTTTTTGTTTACATCAACAATATATTAAAGTTTTTATTTGTCACTGCCTATAAAGTGTATACTATTTGTGTGTAAATGCAGATTTTGATATTTGATGAGCCAGTAGGCTTTGGGGGCACATGTACAGGATGTGTATGTATGATGTTTGAGATGGAAAAATAATCATGTATCCAGCCTAACTTTCTTTCCTTGGTACAAAACTCTTGTTAGTTTCTGCTTATAGATCACACACATTAAGTAGACCAGTGCTGCGGTTCTGCTTGTTAGTCACAATCATGAGTTCTAAGTCTGTAAGCCTTTAACCAACAATGTAAAAGTTATAAAATGAATGCATACAAGTCAGATGAACTGTTTCACTCATCTTGTACTTGCAACTTTTCACAGTTGATGTCTTAGAGGGGCATTTTGTTTCTCTTCTTTTTAAGCTTAAAGACTTTACAGTTCAGATATTAATGTACAGTCAGAGGTGCATTGTGGAGTATGAGGATGATGTATTTTGTTTGTTGAAATCAGGACTTGGCTGCTGTAAAACTTAGGGACTGTATGAAAATGATTTGGGGGTAGAGGACTTCAGAAAAAGGGAGAGGATTATGGTGCAGGTGTACTCCATCAGAAGTGCTAATTGAATGGTTGAGTATCTTCTGAACCCCCCTCCCCCCACACCTTCCCTACATCAGAAGTACAACAACTTTCTGAAACTGATGATCTGACAATCACCCTCACGTCATGTCGTGATTGGTCAGTTGTGCGAAGTTGAGAAAGGAGCCCGAGTTTGGTCTTATCTCTCTCTTCTTATCACTCTTCTTTCAACCATTTCTGTCACTTTTAATGTGAAAGTCAGTGCAACCAAGAATCCACTGTTACCTCCCAGTTTAGGAGCTGTAGCGTCTCACTGTGACAGACGGCCTTTAATCCACCTTCAAACTTGGCCTTTCAAGGCAACTATAAAAGCGTTTGCCTCCTGACGTAGTCTGACAATACAATGTATGAACTGGTTTTGGGGGGTATTTTTCTGTGGATAGTCCAACCCTTATGTTCGTCTGTTTCTGTCTTTCTTTTTGAAGGGTGGGTGGTCTGAAAGTTGAGAGTATGGAATTCTTCTGACTTATTATTTCATTCTTCTACCAAGTCTTTATTTTGCCTAGCAAAATGAACTAGCTGCTGACAAATAAGTCGGTTTTGGGGAACAGAATAGATAATTGTGTCACCTGGGGTTGCAATGGTATGAGATTTCTATAATGTGATTAGCGATTTATTATGATTGAAATGTTAAACTATTTTTTAAATGGCAGTATGTGTAAAGTCTGGCAGGAAGTCAAGGAGAAAAGGAAATGTGAATGTGCAGGTTAGATTCTCTGGCTGGTTGCCTCTTTTTTCCTATACCATTGATAAACAAATGCCACAATGTGATAACCATCAATTTTCATAACATGGTATATCTTAAAACTGCTGTACCGTTGCAGCCCTAGTGCTGCCTGAGCCCGATTCACTCATTTAGCAACTGAAAACATTTGTCTTTTTAATGTTTTATTCCCCAGGTATTGGGGGAAGAGTGTTCCTTTTTATTTTGTCAAGAGCAGGATTCAAAGATAACATCAATAATGACCTACCACATGAAGGACCCACCCCCCTCCACACCCAAATAATTTTTGTACAGTCCCTACAGTCAAGTGCATTCAGTTGTTTGTCTCAAATGTCATGAGCGTGACTTCTGTAAAAGCCTGATTTCTTTTCCTGTCCAGTTAACACCTTCACAGTCTGCAGTAACTTTGACCGTGCCCTTTTAAATATTTTCAAGTACAGTCTTGTGATGTGCACTAAAGATAAATGAACTGTGTGATTTAGATTCTTCAGCCACCTTTCCTAGATAAAGCGAACAGCTGATGTTCTCTCGTGGCTCTTTGTGTATCTGTGTGCAATAACAAAGAATGCGGTGTTGTGAATATTTCTTTCATGCACAAGCACAAATTGGTGCGTGTGAATGACTGTCCTGTACGATCATAATGTGATTCTTTTTCTTCTCTGCCATGCGTACTGATGTTTGTATATAAATAAAGACAACGGGTATCCAGAGGCTGACTTCTGTAGACTGCAAACAGATACTGAAACAAGTTTGGTTTGAAATGCTTTAATTTGAGACATCACTGAAGCCAGAGCAGTCCAGCATAATCAGGAGGGTTCAATGTCCCCCTCCAAATCTTTAAGTGCCAGATGCAGGTTCATCTGATTCATTCTATCATTTTATTTACAGAAAATACACAATATATTTACAATATCTTCTCAAAAAGTGTCTATTTTCATGTCTAGTGATTATTTAAATTAGCCTATTTCTAAAAAGCAGTTTCTGAGCAACAAAATGTTGGGAATTGTCAGCCTAGCACAGAGGCAACTGCACAGTCTGTATTTGCTTACATAGAGATCGACTCCTTCAAATAACACAATGTAATGGTAGATAAACTGGCACACACAGCACAACAGTGAGTGGTTCCAAAAGATTTTTGCATCTATCAGTTATTTTTACTTTTTTAAAACACAAACAGTGGCCTAAAAAACAAAGACAGACAAAAAAAACAGCATCATGAATCTTTAGCGACGATACAAGAGCGGACGAGATAAAGCCAGAGTGTTTAAACATGGCGTGGACCACTAAGTCATGTTTGGAGAGGAGTACGGTTCAGTTTCACCTGAACTTCACTCACTGCGGATTATTATTTACTCCACATATACTGTACAATCACTCATCTGTTTTTATCTTGGTACATGCACAAACAGGCTCACCTACCACCCACACACACACACGCTCACACACTCTGCAGGGATCCAATCAGCTATGGAATCTGCACAAAGCCCTGTTTTGATAAGTCTGTCTCTCCAGGCACCGCCCACTGCTGTAGTTATTTTTATTTTACACCACAACATTCAGCCGTAAGTGTGTGCCCTCTCTCTGCCTTTTTAGCGGCTGTGCATCCCAAATATCAGAAAGCTGAAGAACACAGTGACTCCCACTAGGGAGATGGTCGCAGGGGCGGTGAAGAACTGCCTGTAGTTGATGCGGAAGTACCACACCACAGCCAGTATCACCACGAACACAGGCACCACCAGGCTGCTGGTGCTGATGGCCACACCCGCAGCCCTGAATCCTCCAGAGACCCCAGACCCGACTCCTGCTCCGGCCCCAGGCTGAGCCCCTTCCTCTGGAGTAGCCTCGTGCAGGGCCTGGGAGATGTGGCAGTGGATCACGCTGTTGTGTGTGATGTTTAGGGAAAACAGAGTCTTCTTGGGGTCCTGCAGCAACTGCCCTTGGTAGATGAGTTTTATTTGATGTTCCCGACCTGAGAAGTATTTACTGGAGAAGAAGAGAGACAAGAAGGAAGAGCCGTTAAAAAATAGTGCAGGGAAATGCGCTTATTTGCTTTTTTCAGAGAGAAGATCGACAAAATTCTCATATCTGTGCGATAAATATGAAGCGGCTGGTTCGCTTGGCATAGTGCAGCTTACAGTAAAGACTGAAAACAGCAGGCAACAGTGAGCCAGGCTCCGTCCAAAGGTAACAAAAATTAATAAGTAGATTTTTTTTTTACCTCAGCTCAGCAATTCTAAAGCTGTCTCCTCCTTTTACCAGTCTTTATGCTAAGCTAAGCTAACCGACTGCTCGCTGTAGCTTCATACTTACAATACAGACGTGAATGTGGTATCTATCTAACTCTCTGTAACAAGGAAAGAAGATTTTTTTCCTAAAATGTAAAACAACCCATTCAACAATCTATGCTTCAAGTCTGCAGGTGGATGTTTGGGGTTGTTTACCTTTTCAGTATTCCCACTGTATCCTGTGGCTCCACCACAGCTACCTCCTCCGTGTCATTTAAATACTTGAGACGGACAGAGATGGAAGTGGCAGTAGTAGTGGGGGAGATGGTGCTGGACAACACTGGAATATGCTTTATAATCTTTTTGTCTTCCTCCTCCAGTTCCTCCTCATCATCATCATCATCATCATCATCATCCTCCTCATCCTCCTCATCTGATGTATGCAATCTTCCAGCCTGTGGTTGTTTGCTCTGTATGTCCAGCAGGAGATCCATCCTAACCCCCTCGGCTCCCTCCCCAGTCCCCTCCCCCTCTCCTCTCTCAGTCCCCGGCTCGCCGTCATCTGGCTTGTTCTCCTGAGAGGGCGGAGGTGTCTGCTGTTCGGGAGCGTCAGCGCTGGGAGACCCTCCGCTGTAGCTTTCGTGGCCTCCCAGTCCGATCAGAGAGGCGTGAGCGCCCACGGTGAGGATGGTGCCCAGGATGTGGTCTCCCCGGTCGGCCACGTGAGTTGAAAGCCAAGCAAAGACGAGGGCCAGGACCAGGAGCAACACACCGCCTGCTGCTGTGACCTCCTCCTCCATCCCATCCAGCATGGTCAGTGCACACACTGCCATCTCTGTCCTCCAAACCTGAGACAAGGGACAGCAAGTTTATTGACAAAGCCCTAAATCACAAATGTGCCTCACAGAGGTTAACATTAAGCAAAATATTAAGGACTATCCAAGTGTAGTCCAACATAACATACTTTCATGTGATGGGAACATCTGAACAAACTTTAGTTTACTTTATAGGAACATAATCTGGCTTTGTATATCATTACCTCCATGAATATGACTTATTCCCACAAATATATATTTGTGAAGTAATTGTGATTCCACCAAAAACAAAACAAAACAAAAAAACAGTAGGGTTGGAAAATAAAATTTGCATACCGTGACTCAATATAAATATCTCACTGATAGACATATGCATTACTATTTATTATCCCTTTATTATCTCTACCTGTCTTTGGCTATTGTGGGAAATAGTATTAATCAATAAGCAGGACTGCTCTATGACAGTATTTGATTTAAAGGATTATGAAGTGTGACAAAGTACCTGGATTTATTCATAACAGACATTTCTTATCTGTCTATTTCTTATTTCTAAGCAGTTTCTGCAATTGAATTTTACTTCATCATGACATTATATAAGGGCTGCACTTCTTACTAATTTATTGATCAAATAATATTGTCAGACAGTACAATAACAAGGCCTATGGTGACTAACCAGCACTCCAAACCCAAAGATATTTATTTTGCCATCACATGTGATGAAAAAAACTAGTCGGGAATGTTTGGTGTTTTTCATCTCTACTTAATATATATGTCATTATATAAAATTATAAGATATGTGTATGTGTGTGTTATTATATAAGATTACATGTGCCGGAAGGTAGAGGATTTCACTTAGGTCCCCACCCATGGCCTATGTGTGGTGACAGAGGAAAACTTAAGTTCCTGTTTCTGTTTAAGACTGGAAAAGTGATACATTTGTGTCAAAATTAAATTATAATCATATTTATAAAGCTCTGACCTTGCAGCAATATTACATTAATATTCTACACTGAGTGAACTGAGCCCCTGCACATCCTGATGAAGCTACTTTACACAATAACACCATTAGCTTTTACACAGTTCTCGGGATTCTCAACATGTAAACACACTATTTAATAGCTCAGTAGCCACATATACATGTTTTAATGACAAGACTTTACCGACATACCACCATGTGTACAAGTCATTAGCGCTATTTGTGATCAAAGTAACTCAACATATAAGATCCGCACAGCTATCAGGACTGGTCAACAGCTGTTTATTGTAGCTGTGAAGCTACCTCTGAACACCCAGCTGTTCAAAGACGTGTCAACAGTGACTTCTTATCCCATGTTAGTCATAATACACGCCATTTAGTTAAAAATACGTCGTTATATAACCTAATCTTGTGCGCCGCTAGCGCGTGAAACTGTAGTTTGTGTTGCTAGTTGGCGAGCTAAGTTAGCTTCCGAGCTAGCCTACCTTGCTAGCTAAAAAAAAAAAAAACACGACCTTCGACTGTTTACGAGTCGCTGCTCGGTTTTATTTTCGTCGCCATAGTTTTCAAACTGAACACAGAGGTCGTGTGAAGCGTGTGTGTGTCTTTATGGTGTTGGTATTAGACGAGCTTACCTGCCAGCTGTGTAAATCAGAGCATGTTTGAAGGCGAGGCTCAATGCTACTTAGTTAGCAGCTGCTCCTTAAAAACCACATAATAAACACACAAACGACGAGAGACGGCGTGACGTCATCGCCGGGCAGCAGGGAGCGCTTGTTTTGGAGACGGGTCACGCCTGTTGCTCCTCCTGCTCACACAATCATTACTGTACATAGAGTATGTAATGGTGTGGTGTTTACTATGCTGGTGATTTGGAAACCCAGTCACTGACTTGAGTCTTTTATTTTCATGCCATTTTCAACATCACTGGTTTTCAGAGGGAAATAATGTACTGTGCACTTCATTACATTTATCTGACAGCTTTAGGTAGGGGAGACAGGGGTTGGTTGTCACAGTGCTTATTGAGGGTGCTGTCATTTTGTAGGACACATACAAAACATAGAGGTGAGGACATACTGTGTAATTTTTATGGGTCAGAGTATTTTTTTTTTTTAAATATTTGTTTTGTTTTTGTATTAAAATATTTCAGGTTATCAGTCATTTAAAAATTGAACACTTATTAAAAAGTCAAAGGTAATAGACTAAACTATTTCATAGTCTTATTCTTACTTCTTATAATTCTCTATTCTTTACAGTTGAGTGACTCTAACAAATCACATTTTCCCCTTGGGGATCAATAAAGCATTTCTGATTCTGATTCTGATTTAAACAATGGTACCAACCAAACAGTACAATATGAACAAATAAAAAGTAAACCAATAATCCAACAGGAGTTAAAGTTCTATTTATTTGTATTTTCTTACAGAAACTCAATCTGATGTATTTCATGATGACAAAACAAGTGTTAGTTTAAAAAAAAAATAACTTAACAGGTTATTGTACTCTAAAATTAATCTAGTTTCCAAAGAGACACCATACTGTTAAAAATGTCCGTACATTATGACATCACTGGAGCATCCAGTTGGTACACAGCAGCAGGTAGTCCCTCACAGAGCTGGGAATGTCCAGTTTACTGACCACTGGGAAACATCGGGCTCCGAGGCACAGGCGTAAAGCACATCGACAGAGATGCTGCAGAGAGCGAGGCTGACCGCTCTGCTGACGCACCAAGTCGAAGAACGACTGGTGCTCCTGAGGCAGCAAAAGGACAAACAAAAACCACTTTAGAGAACTGGATGGTTTAAAAAAAAGAAGAGAAGATGTGATTTACAATCTGCTCACCTCATATATCTCATTGGACAGAGAGTCCATCCACTCACAGTCAGGGATGGATATGTATGAGTTCAGCATGACCTCCAGAGTGGCAGGAGACAGGACACACTGCTTCAGCATCTGTAGAGAGGACAGAAAGATTCATATCATCACACTTCACATTTTCTTGAGAGAATTTTAAAACACTATTGAGTCAAACTACTTGTAATAGAGGAAATATTATAGGGGTTGTCTGCCTAACCTTATATCAACAGCACTATATGTGCTGGAGCATTTTTATGCTTGGTATTTTGATATTTTTTGGACTCAATGATTTATTGTTTTCACTATTTTAACACTTAGTATTGTATTAAAATATTGATTTGATATTTTGTGAAATGTTTGACAATTTACATCATATTTCCTTAAAAGTAATTGGCAGAGGTGGGACCAAGTCATTGCTTTGTAAGTTTTCAAGTTAAGACTGACAAGTTCCAAGTCAAGTTTGGAGTTTTAAACTTTGAATTTCAAGTTCCAAACAACTCATAGGCTAACGCGCTCTTTACAAAATGTAATGCCATTTAAACAACAGAGTAGTATGTTAAATTTATAAAAATCATGAATGGCTTAAAAAATATGTTTATTTGTTACAACAAGTTTGTTAAACAGTTACTTAGCTAGCTATTAGCTAATCATTAGCTCGCTAACTATGCTAATATTGTGCAACTTCATCTTTTTTGCATACTGCAACTCGTTTTTGTTGACCACCATGTAGTTTCTGTATGCAAATTTTGGTATCATTTTTTCCAACTGACACTCAGTAACCTAACGTTAGCTCTTCATGGCTCTGGATGCTGTTGGATCGTTAAAGCAAAGTGGATATGGAGAATAGTGTCGACTCGCTGGGAATAATTAGCATTAACATAAGCTGATTCAGGAAATGAAGAGAAATAACTGATTTGTGGCATACTTTTTGAATAGCATACTTTTTAATCTGTGGTCTTTGGGGGAAGTTGTCAAGTATTTCAAGTCAAAAATCTCAAGTCCAAGTGAAGTCACAAGTCATTAGTGTTAAAGTCCAAGTCAGGTTAAAAGTCTTTTTTGATTTTGTCATGTCTAAGGTCATCAAATTTGTGACTACAGAGTCAGGATCAAGTCCAAGTTGTGTGTCTCGAGTCCACACTTTTGGTAACTGTTGTGTTGCCCTTGTCTTCATTACTAGAAATCTCGAGCAATGTATTACAGTTTTTGAACTTTGATCTCGAACTTTATGTGTAAAGAGCATCAACATGATAATACACAGTATAGCCTAATAATTGCTCATTTTTGGGGGGGCAATTTTTGCAGTTTCTTTTTTTCCTGTTTGTGTTTATATTCTACAGATTTGGACATTTATTTTTTTATCAGTTAATGGTTGAATTTGGCTTTTGATTGGTTGTCACAACCTGTGGCCTCAGTATAAAGATATTCTTATGTCACATTGTGAATTGTATAATGTGATGAATTCGGTCATTTCTTTGGCCATTTACTCAGCTGTCGACCGGTCGTGCATTAGAACTAAACTCATTTTCCACGTGTCAGTATCACATTCTCTCAGTGTGGTTGTTTTATCTAACCTTTGGGGAAACAGGCTGAGCTCCATGATTCAGAAGTGACCGTGCTATTGCTTCTGGTTGCTGGTCCGGGTAATCTTCAACCACCTTCAGGAGCAAGCAGAAAAATGTTTATCCTACTGCATTAGCTTAAAAAGTAAAAACATCTATTTGATTCATTAGATTCTAAACGTCACATCTTAGCTGTTTCACATAACTCTAACCCTGAATTCCACCCAGCCCTGATGAGTTACCTGTATCAGACAGTCCATTGGTGTGTATCCTGCACAGTTGGCGACGTCTGCCTTGGCTCCATGCTGAAGGAGGACGTCTACAATCCTTGGGCTGCAGTTTGCACAGGCATTGTGCAGGGGGGTGTGCTGCTTCCTGCCAGCAGTTCTGGGATCAGCTCCTGCACCCAGCAGCCTTTGAACCACACGTAAATAGCGGCCGACCTCAGAGGGCTTCTCAGCGCCTGAGCAGGCAGCGTTCAGAGGGGTCTCCCCTTCTTGATTTGTGGCTAACACATCTGCTCCGTGGCTGAGGAGGAGCTCCACATGCTCCTCAAGGCCTCGCCGGGCGGCCACGTGCAGAGGTGTGACTCTCGACTCCTTCATCCTCACACTGACTTCTGCACCTCCTTCTATTAGCAGCTCAGCACACCTGGAACAAAAGGCACACATCTGTATCTACATCATGAAAACATCCAGTCCTTTCTCTCTAACATTAAAGTTAAAGATCTTTTGATTTGGAAAAATTCTCATTTTGTCTTATTATAAGAAAATTAGGTTTCCAAATTAGACTTTTATGACCACATAAGGAGGAAATTTAAAGATGAACATTTTTGCAGTATAAGAGAAGATTAACATGAAGCTTCAGTTCCCCAGTGGTGAAACTGGGCCTGATAGAGATTATTGATATTAATATATAGTAGTTGTCAGCTCTTCTATCTCTCACTGGAATGACTGGGCGGAGGTGCAGAGGTGAAGAGGAGCACTGCCATCTTCAGCCAGCATATCAGGATCTGCTCCATGAGAAAGCAGCAGCTGGACACAGACAGCATGACTGCCCATACAAGCCTCATGGAGGGCCGTTTTTCCTCCAGGGTCGGCGTTCACCTCGGCCCCTCGAAACAGCAGTTCCTCCACACATCCTGCGTGTCCTCTGCTGGCAGCCAGACGTAACGCTGAAGACTGCTTCACCTTGGAGCTCAGCGTCCACATGCCTGACAGAGGAACAGAAAGGCTGTGAGAAAGAGTGTAAAATGTTGCATGAGGTTATAAGTAAGAGGTTTCATACCCATCTCTGGAGCCCACACCATTTCCTCATGCACCGTCTCCATCAGGGCGTTGACCATCCCAGGATCCTTCAGCACCGCATACACTCCTTTCATGTCCCCGCACATGAAGGTGTTGTGGATGGCTGTGTCTCTGCACCGGACCTGAGCTGGAGGGGCCCGGACCTCTTGGAGCCGCTGTTGCCTGGGAGGAGGCCTGGGGGCCCGGGGCAGTGGGGCCCTGGTCATGGCTCTCCTGTGAGCCAAAGCTCTCCGAGCATCCTCCCACTCCTGAATCTCCTGCTCCAGTCTCAGAGAGCGCAGTGAGGTAGCAGTGAACGGAAATGATTCCTTTGACATGGCACCTTAAAGAGAGCCCACCAGGAAGTTCAGAAAGTTCTACAAAGAAGATGGGTTAGAGGATAGGTTTTATTATGGTCCTGTAGGTCCACACATTAAAGGGACAGTTCACCCCAAAATCAAATATCCATTATTTTTCCAAGTTGCAAAGTGTTGGAGATATCGGCTATAGAGATGTCTACCTTCTCTCATATAATGGAAGTAGGTGGCACTGGATTTGTACTGCCCAATCCCATTTCCTATTTTTTACCCCCACATCTCGTTGTCAGGTGTCCCTTTGCCCAACAGCAATGTCTCTTTCCAGACATCACAACCCAGTTACTCAAGATAATCCACAGACCTTGTTGGAAGCAGTTTCATGTAGGAACTATTTTCTTTCTACTGAACTACACCTGCCAACTGTATCACCCACAAAAGGAAGCATCTACACACCGCTCTCCCGGGTTAAAGTCGGTCGGTGTTTGCTGGACCCATCCACGACAACTCCCACCTGCCCCTCTCAGATTTTGCCGGTTAAACTATAACGGTGACCAGCCATGTATCATGCCAACGTGAAAGGACGGGTTTCTCTGACAGTGTCTGACGCCCCAAGCCAATGCCCAAGCGCTGGATTTTGAGGATTTCGGAGTGAGACCAGGTTGATGTGAAACTGTTTCCAACAAGGTCTATCGATTATCCTGCGTAACCTGGTCATGATTTCCGCAAAGAGACATTGCTGTTGAGGTTTTTTTTTACATGTTTTTTCTTTGTTTGTTTGTTTGTTTTGTTTTTGGCCGCTTTGAGCACCACAAGCCAAGTGCCAACTCGTACCATTAAATTGGAGACAAGGCAGACATCTCTATGGCTGACATCTCCAACACTCTGCAACTCACACCAAAGCAATCCAGACAGATGAACGCGATCTTGAGCTCTAAAGCACTGGTCAAAGAAATGTGAACCCACAGCTTCTACTTACCCTTCACTGGAGCTGTAGTGAGTCACAGAGGTCCACGCAGAGGTCAGGTAAAAACGTTCATGATTTAAACCAGCCTTGTTTCCCTTTTAGGTCAAATATTTCGACTCAAATTAAATGTCCTTCCTTTATGGACACCTTTATGGACAGAGTCACACGCTTGTTGCTCACATACAACTTCAGCACAAGTTATTATTAGATCAGAATGCAAGCTGACACTTGTATTACCCAAAATATCCACCAGATGGCAGTATTGATCCTGGATGTATACCCCAGAAAGTGTGACTCTAAACCAAAGAACCAACAAATGTCAAGATTTACATCCCAATCCAGCTGTTATTGCAGGTCAAATGAGGAAATAGCTTTGCGAGATCATTCTTAATGTGATGTACTGTTGAAATCATTTGCATCATTTTAGGATAATCTGGATGTAAAATGTCATTTTTAACCTTTGTTAAACAGGATCTGTAGAAATAAAGATATCTAAGTGTTGCATCTTACAACGGAAAGTCAAGTACCTGTCCTGGGCCATGTGGTGTCTGCAGAGGTGTTGACCAGCTACCCAGTTTAGAGTGCTGCAGTGGCCCAGTGGAACAGCCAGAAGATGTGAAGGAAATGAAATCATTGCTTGGCTTTGGTATGTCACAGGTGTGATGGGTCTGCTAGGTGTCCACTCAGTTTTGATGGTGATATGATTTGTTGTGGCACATATCGGTGGTGGAAAGTACCTACTCAACTACAGTTTTGAGGTACTTGTACTTTGGCTAACTTGCACATCTGTGAAGGCACCATGAATGCTGAAAGGTACATTCAGGTTTTGGAGCAAGATATGCTGCCATCCAGACATCTTTTTCAGGAACATGCATGCTTATTCCTGCAAGACAATGAGACACATTCTGCACGTGTGACAACAGCTTGGCTTTGTAGTAAAAGAGTGTAGGTACTAGACTGACCTGCCTGCAGTCTAGACCTGATTCCCATTGAAAATGTGTGGTGCATTATAAAGTGCAAAATGTGGCAATGGAGACCTCAGACTGTCTGGCAACTGAAGTCGTATATCAAGCGAGAATAGGAGACAATTTCACTTTCAAAACTGCAGGAATTAGTGTTCGCAGTTCTCACATGCTAATGGAGTGTTGCTGAAAAAAAAAAAAGTGATGTAACACAGTGGTAAACATGCTCCTGTACCAACTTTTTTGGAACTTGGTGCAACCATCAACTTCATAAAGAGTGTATATTCATAAAAATATAATGTTTACTAGGTTAAACATTAAATATCTTGTCTTTGGGCTGTGTTTAATTGAATGGAGGTCGAAGTAGCATCCTGTTTTTATTCACGCTTTACACAGGATCCCGACTTCTTTGGAATTGGGGGTTGTGTATTGTTGGGAATAGAATGATTTTATGTGTTTTACTATAAGTTGTGTTTCACTATATAAGTTTTAGATGTGTGAACAATGAGAATACTGAGATGATTTCAGCTGATCTGAATGTGTTTGCTTTGCAGAAGTGCAGGAGAGGAAGAGACATGAAGTCTGAGGAGCACATACCGCAATGCTTAGATAATTAGTTTCATATATGGTAAAAAGAATAGAAAGTGATTTACAGATAGTAAGGTACAGCACGTGTAGGGAGTTGTGTTGTTCTCTTGTCTTTCAAAACAGGAACCACGCCCCCACCGCCAGCGGGAAGGAGTCAGATTAACACGAGGCAGGGGCGTGGTGTGGTGAAGGAGGAAGTGGAACTGCCAATGAGAAGAGGACAGCGCCTCGCGTGCACAATGACACTCTGTTACGCTCAAATATACTGGGTCAGGGAAAGGATAGGAGGTCAGACTTCGTGAACTGACACACCTTTGTTGTTCGTCAGGGACGTGAAGTTGAGACCCAGAGCTCTGTAATTTTATTCCTTTACTGCTTAATAAACTACATTAACTGAGACCGAATATCTTCTCCTATTGCTTCATTAAAGAACACGCAGGACTGAGCTCACACATAGCACATTAGAGAGTAGGATGAGACTCTTAGTCCAACAGTATATATGGTCAGTTCTGGGCAAGTTAGTGTAATATAATATATTACTAGTACTCATGGATGTAGTACTATAGCCGTTTGTCAATACTCAAATTCAGCAGTTCGGACTTGGCAAGTCCACGCGAGAGTCCGGACTTCCCAAGAACGGGAGGATGGGAGTACAGTCATTTCTGCTTTTGGAACAGCAGCAAACTTGATGATGTCACCACCTCCGCTTGCCTTGGCTGTTGTACTGTGTTGTATTCATGCATTTAGAATAAAACAATATAAACACAGCCCAGCCCTGCGTCTTTTCATTGTCATTGTAAGAAATTAATATGTATATGTTTTTAACGTTTCAACATATATAACTGACATACAAAAACATATAAATAGCCAAAATATTTTCATAAAATGTCTTTTAAAACCTTTTCCCCGCAGCTTGATCATATTTAATCTATATTCAATTCCCGCACCTGGCTTCTGATTATAATCAAAGGTCAGGTGCGGGGGGAAAGTTTGTGGAGAGTTGGTGGTTATTGTGATCTTGAGCATTGGCGAGATGGAAATCAAAAATCAATAACGGACATGGATCAGAGAAGGCGTCTTGGTGCAGTTATTGCAGCAGGATTGCTGTACCTGTAGGCTGAGGAGGAGGCTGCCCAGCTGAGGAGGCAGATCCCAGAAAGACAGTGGAGAATGAGGATGAGGATGAGACATGCTATGCTTGCATGTCTCTATTGTTTGATATGTTTGTCCAGTTGTGGACAAAGTACCCAGAAAAAGTAGTAATATCACAACAAAGAACAAAAACTCAGTCACAAGTAAAAGTGCTGCAAATCTGACTAGAGTAATAAAGGTATATGGGTATTGTCAGCAAAATGTAGGCCTAGGCCTCCTTAAAATGAAAAGTTAAAAGTACTCATTATGCATAGTGACCCAATTTCAAGTGTTGTAATCATCATATAGGCTACATGAATATGTATTGAGTATTAATTGATCAATTTATACGTAGGCTACATGTAAGCAGCAATTAAATGTTGTCAATTTTAGAACTGTAATTCGGCACTCTGCCGCACAGCCATGACGATATACAGTACAACATCACTCCCTCTCGTGTGATATTGCCTAATTGAGAAACGGCTTATGTTGTTGTTTTTTTTTATTAAACTTGTGACCTATAACCTTTCACATCAGCCAAAGTTCAGTGCGATTTGATGGGTACGCTTCATTAATATCAAATGACAGCAGGGGGCAACAGTGTTGTCCATCCAGCCATTCATTTTCATTTGCTTATCCGGGGCTGGGTCGCCGGGGCAGCAGGCCAAGCAAAGCACCCCAGACAGCCCTCTCCCCAGCAACACTTTCCAGCTCCTCCTGGGGGACCCCAAGGCGTTCCCAGGCCAGACGAAGATGAGATGTTGTGTATAATGAAATACAAAAAGCTCTCCGCTCGCCCACACTTTGGCGTACGCTGGCGAGATGAGGCAACAGTCTGGTTTGTGGCTCATGTCAAATGTAGCTTTATCTGAACAAATGAAAGGTGTTGTTGGAGTGTTACCTCGCTAACGTTAATCATTTGTTAGCTACCGGACGTTTACATCCAAGCTAACGCTGTGCGTCCAGCTGAAATAGCAAAGTGTTACCCTGCAGTTTTTACAAGCCGACACTTATGATTGCTCTAATAGAATCTAAAATGTCATTACATTCAATGCAATAGAATATAATGCATGTGGGGTTGTGTCTTACAGACGCAGAAACATGTTCAGGTGATTTTATTCACATAGGAACTTTCAGTAAGCTAATGTGCTAACGTTACTATCCTGTGTGCACTACAGCGCTTAAGTTAGCTTGCGACTCGTCGCATCTGATTCAGGATGAAAGGAAAAGTTTAGGGGAACATAAATAATGATACTTTAACTTTTTTGCACCACGTATACTTGTTAAAGCATTAGTGTTAAACATCGTAAAGGTCTTAACGCTGTTAAACACAGTTTACAAACAATTTACAAACAACCAGGCGTCCCCAGGTAATACTAATCCCGTGCGAATAGGGCTTAAGACTCACTAAAACACAGTTTCAGATTTGTGAAACTTATTCTATTTGTGAAAACCAAACAAAGGGCAATTTCACTGACCAGTCTACTTCTAAACCACATTAGGCCAAGTCCAGATTAAAAACCACTATACTTACACTTGTCAAATTTGGACTAGATAACAATGAGACTCCAGAAACTCGTTAAAACACAGTTTAACATTTGTGAAACCTTTATTCTTTTGGGGAAAACTGAAAAAAAGGCGATTTCACTGCTTTTTTCCTACCCAGACCACATTAAACAGATTTGACAATGTATTCTAAAGAGATATTGTGTGATCGTATTTCAAAATGTAAAAATAAGTCTAAGTATAGTGTTACTTGATCTGGACCTGGTCTAATGTGGTTGATAAAATAAAGGTTTCAGGATTCTGAAACTGTGTTGTAACACTCTAATAAGTGTAAGTGGTGCAAAAATGGAGAATGAACCATTAATAATGTTTCCCATAACTTTCACTTAACTGGGAATCAGAAGCTACAAATCAGAAGCTAACTTTAGTATTGTTACTGCGCTGGCTAAACTTTCAACATCCTCCTTTGAATTTATATAAACTTATAATTGCTTTGCTGCCGATTAGCAGCATATCAAACATGTCCTATGCTGCATTTAGGTTTTGTCAGTAAAATGAAATATAAGGGAAAGTTACTCATGTTTCTGGTTTCATGCCTTATTGCTAGATGACTACTGTTGTTGCTTGTTCCACACGGTAATTGGAAATTAACTGCAACTTTTCCATTATTAATGTGCTACATATTTGTAATGGTCTGTTGACAAACTTGAAACTAGACACTGATTTTATTTAGCTATACAGTATTTCTTGTATAGCCTTACGTAGACCACTAATATTGTATTTATTCACATCTAGAGTGCCAGCTATGATGGCTTTGTGGCTGTGTGGCCAACAGTATGGCTTCTCACCAACTGAGAGACATCATGGCTGTCAGAAATCCAGATATCTCAGACTATAAATTATGGTCAAGAGACTGAAACTAATAGTTTTTCTCTATAGGTTCAACATATGGCCAAGGTGCACCAGCTTCTTTCCCCTCATCTCACCCTCAACCCTGTCATCTTCATCAGGAGTGGAAAGGAAGATGAAAAAGAAGGACAAAATGAAGCAATGCAAGAAAAACTAAGAAATAAAGAATTAAAGTTTTATACATATAGATCTTTGTTTTGATTTTACTTGCCTCAAAACATGGAAGAACAAACAATTAACTGCACAGTAAGCTGTCAGTAAAGCATATCAAGCATATGCGTTGTGTTTTATCGTGCTATATTTGTATTTATTTCCTGGGATGAAAGGAGAGCGTGCAAAGAGCTGGAAAAAGGTGTAATGCCGGACAAACACAATTGCCAGGGAGAAGACCTTCAACATTTTAATGACTTCAAAACTGTCAGCGTGTTTACACCAAAACACAAGTGAGTCACATCTAGGGTGGGTGAAATCTGTCTGCCGACGGCAAGCAGAGTCAAGAAGCAATAAACGAGCGTCCAGTAATGTAAAGCTGGTGAGGTGAGCGACAGCTGAGACGGTCTTCAGACGCCAACAGTATCCATGACAACATGTCACCTGACCTTTGTTCCGAAGTAAAAG